TTGAGTGCACTAATTCTTCAGTATCTTTTTGAAGTCTTTTTACAAGGCATGATGATTCTTGTTTCTGACTTCAAGGCACTTCTCACTGAATGGAAACTAATGCTTGTAATTATTGAAGTAATACTAATATTGAGTTTTAAAATGTTTTGGTTTAAATGTAAGCTATTGCCAGTGACTTTCCATTTTAATAGTTTCTGAAGTTAGAAAAAGGAACTTTGTTACTGTAACTTCACCTATGCAATTAAATAACTAAGCATGGAAACAAGTGGCATTATAAACTATTAAAAAAATCTTTACACTGTTGACTTTTTAAAAATAAAAGCTGTATTATTTGGGTGTTGAGGTGAACCGTGGCATCAGAATAATATATTCACAAGCAATGGACATATAGCAAGAGGAGGAATGCTCTAATAGTTTTCTACCTTCCTTGGTAAGGAGAGAAATTATATGATTTGATAAAGGCTTTTAGAGCAAGTTCTTAAGTCAGTTTTCCTCATGCAATTGAACAATGTCATTGTAGGGAACTTGTTCTGTTAGCTGTTACAACTAATGAAACTTAATATTTTTTCTCCCTTCAGTTTTGGATCTCTATGGCATAAGGTTCCCCACTGCAATAAACTAGCTTACCTGCGTTGTATGGCTCATGCTTTAATTTAAATCTAACAGCAAATTAAAACTTCTGAATACAGAAATCAGATTGTAAGCCAATGGCTTAAGGATATATGAAAAGATAATTTATTCGCTTTCTAAATCAGGTCTGCAATAAAACTTGCAAGGTAGAAATTGAAGGTTTGTGTTTTCTTTCAGGAGAGATAGGCATTGGCTATGGTAACTCATGGGGCCTGAGCTACTGCTGTTTTGTCCCCATAGACAAAAGAGCAGCTTTTTTAATGATTGAAATAATACCTACCAAAAAATCAGTGTTTAATTGTTAACTTATAGCATACTAAGAGAACACTGCTGGGCTTGTCACACTGGGCAGAAGCCCTTTAGCAATTTTAAGTAACACTAATCCTTAATTACTAGGAAATCAACAGCTATTTGTTTATTGATTGGCATTTTCTGGCTTGTTTGTGTGACTTTACCTTAGCTCCACGTCTAATCAGTTGTGGCCTTAATTTTATGTCATGGACTTGAACTGCATTAGTCAGTCTCCATAAGCTGACTGGCTTGCAGGGTGATATTAAAATGTGGTATCAGTAAATTCTATGCATGGAAGATGGGTCTGTTAAATAAAATTTTTTCATACTTGTTTCTTTTTTTTAAAGGACTCAGCCATCTACAGTTTAATCATATCCCATCAGTGCGGTGAGCTGTACTGTAGAGCAAACTCTCACGTGGGCATCTCCTACAGCACGGGCTGTCAGGCCAGTTGAACTGTTGCCTCTGGACCGTGTCGGACACAGTCGGTGCAGGGCTGCGGTCGTGCCAGCAGGAACTTACTCCCCAGCCTGTCCTAACACCAGACTTTCAGGAAGGGGACGTGGATTAATGCCTGGGGAGGTTTTAGTCGGCAACCTGTATTGACGGTATTTGCTTATGCTAATTGCACTGTCAAGAAGTAATGATTAAGATTTTTTATGATCTATGTGTCTAATCTTTAATTGAAAAGGCTCAGTTGTCACTACCTTCAGTTTTCTTCATGCCTACACAGTTCATTTAGGCAATCAAATGTGGATTTCTGGTGATGGATAGTGAAAAGAAAACCCAATTCTGGAGCTTCCTCTGCCACACAACAGTTTAATGGAACTTAAACTTTACTGCTGAATATTCCTCCTCAGATAACTCTGGAAGTAATAGGCAGTGCATCAGGACTAATAAATCCAAGCTTTTGGTCTAGGCTATGACAAGTAATTCTCCGGGACTCCTGACAGAGAATGCCTTTCCAGCAGCACTGCATCTCAGGCAGTGGCTACGTGGCATGTGTGCATACAGAATTATGGTTAAGTTTCTGAGCTTTCATCAACTATGTTTATTTCCTGGATTAGGGTCAGGATTTTTGATCATTTTACAAGGATTTGGTTGCAGTCACCTCTGGCTATTAGTCTGCCCAATAAAGCAGATATAGCAGACCTGTCCACCATAAGGACTCAGGCTGCATCAGGAAAAAAGGGACGTGACTTGCAGGCAGTGAGGGCTCTGGGTGAGCTAAATTAGAAATTTCCTGTTTTGTCACAGTATCAAGTTATGAAGATTTTGCGGGTTTTTATTACTTATAGTAGAAGTGTCGGTTTTGGAGTGTATTGAACTAACCACTGTGATTTATCAACAGAAATGATTACTATGTCCCAAGAGGTTACTTTTCTTTGGCCGTCAGAACTTGTTTTGCTGGTATGTTTGTTCCTTGACTCTGTGCCGTGTTTTTTGAAACTTTAGGTTGAATTTGCAGGCCTGCTCCTTAAAGGGAGCTTTTTTGTAACTGTAAAATGAGTGTGTATAACACAGAAATTCAGAGTAAAATCATATAATCTCTGCAGTACTGTTTCTGCAGTAGTTTGTCAGAATCGTTTTATTGTTCCTTGCTTGCTGAGACTGCTACCAGAGAGCAAAGTGCAGCTGATATCAGCATTTCCTAGGGACTTTTATCTCAGTAGAGTATTCTGTTCTCATGCTTTAAAGATAATGAAATGAGTCATTGTCTTTACATCTCATGTGATTTATTATAGACATACATCGCTAATGCTTTCCGAGGAAAAAAAAAATATCTTTTGTTCAGACTTGTGGCTTTGAACTAGTAGGCTGGTTGGGAGTTTGCATAACTAGGGAGTTGCTTTGATTTATTTTTTTTAATCTATGGTACTGAGAACACTTCAGCAGACAATGGAGCTCATGGGAGCTTTTTGATTATTTATTTTTATAGGTATACTTCTGCTTTGGCATCAAGGATGAAGAGATTCATCAGCACCTTTTAGTCTATATGGATACATCAATGTTTTATTCTCCTACTGAAAAAGTGAGGCTTACCTGCACTGGGTGCAGACTGGTAGCTCTGATAAAGGAGTAGATTTGACATCTTGAAGAAAAAAATGTCAACTTGTGAAGCTTTGGGAATGTAGAAGACTTCCTAGACTGACCATCAATACAAACTGTGCAGTAACATCCCCAACCCATTCTGTCATTAGCATTTAATATACTTGTTTATGACCTAGTTCATCTTTTGTAATGAAGGTGACAAGGTGGAGTTATAACAAGAAGTGAAATGAAAGGAAAATACAGTTTAGGCATTTGTCCTAACTCAAAGGATGTATTTGTAGGGGGACCTATCAAATTACTGCCAAGTGCAGAATAGGATGTTTGAAGGAGGAAGGAGTCCTGTGAGCTGCGGAGGAGCTCAAGTCAAATGTAGGCACACTTGTGCTTGAGCAGAAAATACTGACAATCCTTGCTAGACACTCCATGGTAACAGAAGTAATGAGCAGTTCTGCAGAGAATGGAGGGAGAACAGGACTGTTATTCACCTCCCATAATAAACAAGTTTCTTAATTACAAGCCCTCCTTGCCCATAGTGGCAACTCTTTTGCTGGTCCATGTTTAATACTAGTGGTAGCAAGTCTGTAAACCTGATGACCCAAACTTAACTGCCTTTTTTTTATTCCTACACCAAACCAAGATTGTCAGTAAGCTTTTTGAGCTGGAAATGTTATGGCTTTTAGTTGTTTGAAGTGCTGGATATGCCTGCTGTAGTATAGATGAGGGTGACAATTATGGGGGCCACCAGATTAGCTCTTAGAATAAACTGCATGGTTCATACAGGGAGAAATCCCATCTGATGTTGAAGACTCTGCAAATCCCATAGTTTTCATGGACCATTAGGAAAACAGAACTGTATGTATTTTTTTCTCAGAATACCTGTATCACTTAGAGTTCTGTAATAAGTATGATAATAATTGAATCTTAATTTCCTGGCTGTAGGAGGTGCTGGGATCCAGTGCACAATTGGCTCTATGCATTAACGTCTGTTAGAACTGCAGTGAAATTTGGAATGAATCAGTTGGAGATGAAGAGATTTGGTTTTTTTCTGGTTGGTGGTATGGTGAAATTCCTCTCTTGTGTGAGGAGGTGTTTTCTGCCAGATTATAGCCAATTATACTGGCAGTATAGTGTGGCAGGAGTCATGCAGTGTGTTTTTAAACTTTGCAGAGTGAAGTGTGGGTCAGTATATTCATTTTCCAGAAAAAAAGATGAGCAGTGAGGAGATATAATCTAATGTTAAGCAGGGCAGAACATGACGAATTATAGGAAGACTATGCATGATTGAATAGTTAATGGACAACAGTAAAACTTGGGGCGAAACTGTCCTAGCTGTTCCACAATATAAGGAGCTGTGCTGGCTATCACTACTCAGGAGCAAAAAAGCTGAGCAGTAGCTTATCAAATCTTAGACATTAAGAACAAAAATAGAGGACAGAAAACATTATGCTGCTGTTTTGTATAATGACAGTGGTTTGCCTGTGCTTGGGATACTGATGGCATGCAGTTGTCTGTTCCTCTTGTCTTGGAAAGGATACGGTAGGACTTGGGAAAGGCCAGAGGCTGGTGACAGAGATGATCAAAAGCAGAGCATAGATTGCATAGCAAGAATGACTGAGTGGGCTGGGAGCCTTCAGCCTGGGAGAGATGATTTAAAGCAGATACTAGATGTTTACAGAATCTGAAGTGGCATGAAGCAGCTGGATAGGAACTGACTGTTCACTGTCTCTTCTAGTGCCACATGAGCTCAGGTTTGCAAGTGAAGCTATGAGGAGCTACCTTCAAAGCAAACCAAAGAAGGTGATGATTCTTGCAATAGGCAGTAGAACTATGGCAGTCTTGCTCAAGCATGCTGTGGCTGCAGAAAGCTAAAGAGGAAAAAAAGGAGGCTGAGCAAGTATTTGAGAGTTCCCAAAGGGCAAATTATATCTGGCGTGGGATATTCTTGGGGCTGACAGTTGCAGCAGAGGGACTTGCAAGGGAGTATTCTGTAATACCTCTTCCCTCAGTGTTTGGTTATGGGCACCATTGGAGACCTGAATGTGCTTATTGCCAGCTAGTACCTTTTTGATAGACTTCACACAGCTGCTTTATCACTACTTCATTATTTTCTTCTCTGTGTGGGCTTCATTTTGCTGAAGTCGTCTCTGTCTTTAAGCTGGTCTAGACTCCCTCTGTAGGCAAAAGAAAGCAATAGCCGGGATGACTTACCTTTCGGAGATACCTATTGCTCACAGTCCATTGAGAACAGACAGATTTTCTTGAGGACTTGTATGTCCTCTGGCTGGTGGCCAGAGGTGCACCCATTCGGGGTGCATTTGGTTTGATCTGCCACTGGTGCGAAGCCTGCAGCCCCTAGGCAGCTGTCAGGATAACTGAATGACTAAAGAAGTTGTTGCATGTTGTACTGATCTAAGACCCCCATGTCTTGAGGGATGTACTTTTTTCCCTAATACAATGCATTGCAGTCCTTAGTAAGTATCTCTGGGTATTGCCATTAATGAATCAGCTTTGACTTTCTAGTGAATTTCAGAGAAATGCTTTTAGACTTCAGCACATTACTGCTTCTTTTGAATGGTAAGACATGTTTCTTATTTAACAGTGTTCCACATCTAGGTATTTCTAGAGAGTCAAAATAAACAAATCTTACTCCTTTTTTTTTCTCCATTGCAAGAATATCTATTTTGAATCGATATCTGTCATGCTAGCAAGAACATTGGATTTTGTATGTTTTAATGAGTTCTTGTATCTTGCTTTAGAAATTTGCAACATACCCTAATTTGGGGGTGACTCAAACTGAGCACCATTTGGAATTGGAATGGACCTCTCATGGGAATGAATTAAAACGGCCTTCTTGTCCAGACTTATTGTAAATGATTCCTGCTGTTTCCCCTGCACCTCCAGCTGAGCTGTCATAGAGTAAGCACAATTAGCCTCCTTCCTGCTCCCAAGTCATTCCTTGCCAATATCATGAAAATGTCATTAGGTACTTTTTCTACAAACAATCTCATTATCCACCACTTGGTGTCTGCCTCAAAAAATTAAATCTGTGAATTGTCTGCTGTGTCAGTCAATTAAAAACAACTATTTTTTACTACAGTCTGTTTTATTAATCTTTTTGTTTTTCTGTTGGAATTCTGTATACAAGATAATTATGGCTATGAACAACAAACATCTGCAAGCAACTATGAAAGCAAGCAGTACCACCAGCCGGCACCTGCCTACTCAGCTGCAGCATGCTGCTGGGGATTCCTACTGCCCACCAAGCAAGTGCTGCTGGAATCTGGCATCCGTGTCTTATGTATGTATATGTTTTATTTTAAAGTTCTTGCAGTACAGGTAGTTGGTTCTCAAATAAGACACTTAAAAAAACCAAAGCCACTACTTCCTGTAGTCATGGAAGGAGATGAGCTTCCTGCTCAGAATGTCTTTCTGGAGAAGCTTCTCTCTCTACTAAGAGAAAGAGAATAGTTTCTTCAGTATGAAATGATTATTGTGAATTGTACCTTGTTGCTCATATACCTGTTTCATATCAGGCATTCAGTTCTCATAAATAGGTTGTATTTAATGCATGTTCTGAAACTGTAGAAATAAGAAATGGGGGAAATGATTTTCACTCCTGTCTTTTGTGACTTTGTAACTAGAAATCATAATACTATACTTCATAATCATGTCACTAAACAGGATTTGAAGTAACCTGAATACATAAGCAATATTTTTCCATATCTATTTGTTGAGAGAGTATGATGATATGAACTGTGAATTATAAATATTCTTCATTAATTCATTGAAATTATGCTAGAAAATGTGATATTTCTGTAGCAGTGAATTTGAGAAATCTGAAATGAAACAGTTACAGAATTAGTATTTCACCTTTTTAATGGGTGATGTAGATTAGCCTACTCCATTGATTTGGGAGTGGGGGGGGCAGGGGGGAAGGTTTAAATAGGTACACTGTTTGAGAGACTCTAAAAATATGTTCCTTGAGCTCCTGAACACATGTATATATTGAAAAATAGGATAGTGAACAGTGTATTTGTGACTAAAATTGCTAGATAACTTTGTTTTGTTGAGGAAGCAAGAAGTGCTAAAAACTGACTCATATTTTGTTAACCCTTATTTTTTTCTTCTGATATTTATTTTAGTAGTGAGAAAAGCTTTCTTCTCCAGACAAAATGTAAATATTTTGATGATAAGTGCAGTTTTCTCTGCCTACTGGAATAAATATGTGCTGTTTCAAACTTTTTATTTATATAGCTTTGTATTTCTTCACTTGAATTCTTAGGATTTTTGTTAGATAACCTCCTTCTGTTTTAAGAAGAAATTTTTATTGATGTGCTAAACATCTCTTTCCTAACTTTATTTATATGAAAGTTTGAGAATACATCTTCTGGGGTGCCTTCTGTCCTGCAACTGGTTATAGTTGTGTCCATTAATGCCTGGAATTGGGGCCAACTGCCCCCACGGAGGAGTGTGTGGAACCCATCCAACTGAATTCCACTGTGAGAAACAAAACTTGAGAGGGGATTTTCCCCCTTACCCATGTTACTTTCTCATTTGCTACCTGGATGACAGCTTGCTTTTTATGGCGGAAGAAAGGAGAGATCTGTTACTTAAAGTAATGTTTGCAGAGAGCTATAATGTCTTATGAGAGTATACTTAACAACCAAGAAGTTACCACACCTGAAACTCCCAGATTTTTTTCAGAAGCAAGCATGTGATATGCCTGTAACTGCCTGGCCTTTTTGAACTTCTGTCTACATTAGTTATGATTCTTAGTTAGTGCCTTACTGAAAACTTACATGGCAAACCAGTTGGGGCAAAAGGGTCCTTAATTCTTCGTATTTTGTGAGGTGACATGCATCTAACCAAGTGCATATGCCTACAATATTGTCACCTGTATCTAAATGAGCTACATTAGGTATGCTCCACAGTTGACAAAAAGCTAATCACATAGGTATGTTTGGCCATATGTAGGTCTTGCAGCCAAGACTGGACTGATTGTATAAGAAGCCTAAAATGAATAGGTTGTGTGTGAGTGCTTACAGTAGTACAAGGCAGTAAAGGAGAAATTCATCAAAATGTTAGTGCTTGCGAGCTTTTTATACATTGCAGGTTTGAATGTGACTCCAAAGGGGTTTTTTTGTTTGTTTTAATCTGAGTGTTTCAGGAAATTTTCCATTTATTTTCAGAGGACATTTAATGTTTTAGTAGAAAAACAGTACCGTCATTGAAAGGGAAATGAATATGTTGCCCTGTTTGATTGCAGACTTACCAGGAGCACTTAGAATGACAAAAGCACAAAAAGAAAGACGTTGTTCAGAAGACAGGAAACCAAGGAAACAGGAGCCCCGGCAGGATTCAAAACCAGCTTCAATGTGAGCTCTGTGATGTCTCTCCGCAGGAGCAGGTGCATGTGCGGCACATATCCGGGGAGCCATCAGAAGGTGCATAGGTTTGTAGAGTTATGAACATGACAGAGCTTGCTTATGTTCTAGAAGTGTGTACAGCAAGTAAGAGATCTTTCAGAAACGTTTCTGAAAGAAAAATTGTGATAGAAATATATGCTTTAAGTCAGTTCACTGCAGTGAACAAACTCTTGGGATAACCAGGAATGAGCATAAGTGTGTTGCTCAGCTTTGCCAAATGTCCCTCCCCTAAAATTGTAGTCTATGCTGAGAAACTGAACCATTTAAAAAATGTTTTCTATAACATTTTTCTCTAAACTTATGTTGAAGTGATGTTACAGTTAACAAGGAAATATCTTTATCACTTCAAAAAACCCAACAACCTAAGCATAGCAGAATCAAATCTCAAGTGTATTTCTTGAAATATTCCTGAAAATTATTCCACAATTGAACTTGTTTTTGACTGTTCAAGCCAATGTTTCTAAAAAACTTCCGCTCCAAATGTTCAGTTGTCTTTGGACATAGTACTTTAAGTCTTGTCTAAGTTATGGCTTTGAAAATATCTGAGCACAAGATTTGTCAAGTTTTTTGTTTGGCCTGGGAAGAAGACTGCATACTTCTAAGATTATTGTGTGGTTATTCAGAGTTGTCTTTACTGGAGTTCTTTTCTAATGTCCACTTTTATACCAGAGTATTTACAGCAGGGTGCCAGTATTTACTACTCACTCTTAAAGAAGCTGAGACAAGTCTGTTTTGTCTGTGAGATCAGCTATGCATCTGAAGTTGGTCTGCACTGTTCTTTGTAGTTTGTTGAGCCTAGAAACTGTTGTATGAATAGAAGCAGCTGACTTCTGAGAACTGCTCACAGAGAAGGGATGCTGAAGATGAAGAGGAGAAGGTGGTGTGAGCTATAACCTGTTCAGAAATGTTCTGGAATATTGAAGGCACTGGTGTCTGGTGTGTAGCATCATATAGATGTTCATGTCAGCTTGTGATAAAAAGCTTAAAATCTTTCAGACCTAGCTACAGTTTTGCAGCTGATATAGTAATCGTCATCAAAGAAATAATTATGGTTAAATTTGTGTTTGCAGAGCACAAAGATTCTAGGAAAGTGTCGAATTGCCTTTTCTTTCAAAAGGCTTCTTACCATTGCAATAAATTCCCTGTCTTTGCAGAGATCCTATCATTGCAAAGAGTAACTTTTTAATGATACCTGTTGGACATTGCGGCAGTCTGAATGAGAGACAGATACTCAAGCAGAAGCTTTTGCTTAACAAAGCAAAACTTTTAGCATAGGCATTGGTTCTGTGTTGCATTAGAGGTGCATATCTCAGTAATAAATTTAATCCACTACTGTCAGCTGCTATAATAATTGCTATAATGAAACGGAATAGAACAAATTGGGGAAGATTTTATGGTGACAAACAACTGACAATAGTATGAAGGATTTTTAACTTAAATGTTATCAAGGATGTCTTCCTAAATAATAAAGAATTGGGCTACTAATCCAGTTTTCTTCATTCACAGACTAATAAAAATAGAGGGAACGAGCAACAAACTTGTGGAAGAGAAGGTGATGAAACCAGAAGCAGAGCTACAACTATCTCTGAAAATATATCTGGAGGGCTGCTGGATGCACAACCTGTTTTACATGACCATGTAGAAGAGGTTAACATCTTTCCTCACAAGACAGATTGCTATGTGAGGCTTTTGCTTTCAGACACACTCATCATGATTTTTAACATATTTGCAATGTAGTTTTTTCAACATACTTGATCTAGTTGTTGAACTTACTCCATGCTGTTTTATTTTGTGCATAATTACCTTACTATGATTTTTCAAATATACGTTTATGGGCAAGGTTTTGTATTGTTGGGCTTTTTTTCTGTGGGTAAATACTGGTTTTAATGCTGTGCCAGGTGATGAAACATTTAGATTGTTTCCATTGTTATTATTTCATGAATTCCTGAAAATGTTACTTTGCCTTCGGTTATGAAATTGTACACTAAGATTTGAAATCTAAATTAAATCTTCAGGTATAACATTTCCAGTGAGATCAGGTTTTGTTCTTCCCATTCTCACTGTAAGCAAAAGCAGATAAAAAGGAAAAAAAAGAAAAGCAAGTGTAAGAATTATTTATGCCTGGAAAAAGCCCATGATGACACAGGCAGGTGATTGACTGAATACCAGGGAATAGGTGGGTGCTGCAGGAAGTGGTAATGATCTTTAAGGGAACATACCTGGGTGCACTATGAACTCAAAAAAATTCCTATAAGAAATTCTTTGCCAGAAGATGATTGCTATTTCTTATGAGCTTTAAAATGAAGTCATATCCATTATGATGACAAATACTGTCTTGTCTCTGTATGTGAATGAATCATGTTCTAGTTAAATCTTGATGTGGGGTTTTCAGTTGCGTCTTTCTAGAGCCCTTTGCAGCTTAAATGGATGTTGCGTTTCCTTCCTGTCTTAAATAGCATTGTAATGTTGCTGTGAGCTTTTAAAATAGCTGTTGTACATTACGCAATGGGTTGGCAAAATTTTAATAAGGAATAAGTACGTGCATCTTGTGAAAGTACATTCTGGTGAGGAATTCCTAAATGCAAAACAGTTGTTACTGTCACGAGTAGTTATCCTGAACAATATGTTTTATGTCTCAGATTGGAAATGATGAAGGAAAAAATATCTGACTTCATTGTGAGCTCTGAGTGCAGTTTCAATGGGTTTGTATTTAGTGTTCAGAGAGTAGTGCTAGAATCCTACCACCAAAATAAAAAATGTGATAGGAGGTGGGGAAAAAAAGTTCTACTCTTGCATATGCCTGTAAAACTGTGGCAGGTGAGTGATGGAAAACTGCCAGTAAGTAACAGGAAAATCCATGGAGACCCCCAAAGGCTTAGTCTAAATGACAGAGGTGATATATTCTGCTATTCTGTCTGCTTTTGAGGGAGAATTTCTTGTATGATTACTGCAGTTAAGAAGATTACCAGGCAGCTGTAAAACCCTGCCTGCACTCAGTTGTCTCAGATCTTTAACATTTTTAGAAAGAAGCCTTGAACTGAGCTCTTCATTAACTTGACATTCATCCCTAGGAAGCTCTGTTTATTATCAAGTGCAGGTCAAAGGGCTGTTTTGTGTGTGGTTGGTTGGGGGTGTGTGGTGTGTGTCTGTATTGGTGGTAAAGTAGCAAAGATAATTTCTTACTTGGCTATTTATATGATACAAATTATCACAGAAGTTACTTTCCTGGTGGTTTTACAGACCTGTGAGAAGGCAATCTATAAACTAATTTCAAAGTGCTAAAAAAAACAAGGCAGACCCCCAAGGACGGGCAAATGTCTAGAGACGCAGCAAGGTTTGGTTAAAGGGAAAGCATGTTTATTTGCTTTTTACTTCTAACATGTCACTTTTATCCTCTCCATAGGCATCAAGCCTGTTAAATCCTGGCAGCGGTAGGCAGCATGTTCCTGAAGGTGTGGTGTCAGGCATGCTGTTGACAGGTGGGTATCACAGCATTACCCGGGAGCCTTATGGGAACCTTTGACACAGCAGCTCATGCTGTGAATGTTGTTCCTCAGTTCTGCCGCCTCTTGGTTGTTATCTTATGAAAGTGTGTTAAGTGTGATGTTTTGACTCCTCTGCACTGCTGAGTTGCTCTATGAAAATAATATTGATAGCAACACTCTGTCCAGGAAGGAGACCTGTCTACCTTCTGATTTGTAAGGAAAGACTAATACTTGAATTTGTCAGAGATGTATTTCAAGCCCCCAGGCACTCACACTTGGCTTTTACAAAGCTCATGTTGCTTTTCTGAACGCTTGCAGTTGTTATTTATAGAAAAGCTTTTAAGGGAAGTCTCAAATGCTGTAACTGTGTGCTCATTCCAGAGATTCTAAAGCTTGATCAGTTTGTCACATTTTCTTACTTGAGGTAAAGCAAAATTCCAGAACTCTTTAAACAGTTTTTAAACTTTAGTTTTAATTCTTTGCCTGCTGAGTTTTGCTGTTAAAAACCTGACTGCAATATATTTATTTTTTGATGTTTTTTCTTTCTCATATCTTGCATTTGTCAGATGAACCTGGGCTGTAAGATCCCCTGTTAGAAAGGTAAATTGGATTCTTTGGAGAGTGTAAGCTGTCAGGAGTGAGATGATGTCACAGTCCATGCACAGGTAGAAAAGAGCAGTTAACAACAGTTAAGAAGGACACTTTGGTAAATGTTCCTGGCAGTGGTATACTGGAGATCCCCACTGCAATTAACACTTTTAAACTATTGAGAGATGTGGTCTGCATTTTATTTATTATTATATTTCTATCATTAGTAACACCAGAAATTGTGTTTATGTTGCTCACTTTTTAATAAAGGGATTCATCCAAGTGAGTGAATGTTTCAAGAGAGAGTCCAGTTGTCTTTAAATATAATGCTACTTGTTTTAAATGTTTCTATCTGTTGTTGAGTCCTCTGTCACATTTTTTTATTGCCTGTGTGGAAAACCATAGAACTTATTGTAGCACATAAAATTGTACAGTGCATAACTCAAGCCCTCTTCCATTCTGTTTGCTTAGTTGTTCTTAGTTTGGTATGGAGTAGGAAAGGTCATTTACATATAATTACTTCTTTTTCATTGACACTTAAAATTTGCCTGACCGTGCTGTTTCTTTGCAATGAAAGCCTTGACTTTCTTGATCAATATCGAATAAGCAAACATTAAAATCCTACAGTTAGTTGTGTTAAAGATGATGAAGGAGACTTGAGTATGAGACTCAAATTGCTGTAGCCAGTCTTGCCTGAAACTTCTGTGGCTCAGTGCAGAAGTCTGATTAAGAAGACTGCAGCTTGGACACCAAATTCTTGGTTTGTTATTTTCAAAGTAGCTGGCTACCTTAGCTTGAGGTGAGTGTTTGCAATATAAGCTTAATTGCTATGTATGGTGTAGTGGTGGTGATGATCTAAACAACTTTAAATTCCAGCTTCCATAGTCTGTGCAGGAAGAACTGCAGATTTCTATGTATTTCCTTCATACAGCTGCCTTCATTTCAGTCAGGTTGTTATCATTTTATCTCCTCCTTCTGCTAGCATGTTTTAAAAATGCTGGCTTTCAGGAAAAAAAAAAATTAACAGGGGAGTTGGAATGAGCTCCGTACCATCTCCAAAGAATACATTTAATGCATGCAGTAAAAAAAAGGAGAGACAGCTAGAAAAGCAGAGGGTGAAGGAGGTGGAAAAAAATGACAAAAAAGAAGATGCTGCCTAATACTGATACTGCCTGTATAAATAATGTTCATATGGTTCCAGTTTTTTTACATAAAGAGGTCGTGGTTTGGTCTGATATCTTACATTTTTAATAACTTTCCCCTGAAATAGTGTACTGTAGGTAGTTTTAAATTATACTATAATCACTACAGAAATTGCACCATTGTGTAAGAGTGAAGTTGCCTGTAGCAACAGTTCCTTTCCTTGTGTTATGTCTCCTACCCCTCCCACTCCCTTGCTCTAGAAGAAACTTTCCCACAGCAAAACAAGTAGACAGTCAGATACTATTAAAGACAACAAACAAACAAACAACAACCTCCAAACAAACAAACAAACCCAAAACAAAACAACAACACACACCCCCCCCCATTGTGTGTATTCTTTATACATCTTCTTTATTACTTTAGATTTCTGCCCTCATACTGGAGGCAGTTTCTAGCCTGGCCTGAAGTGGCTGAAACTGCCATGTTTTGTTATATGGGTTTGGCTTTTTTTAGTCCACCCCTTTTGGAGCGGGGATCTTGCACTTCAGAGCTTACTATTTGGGAGTGGTGAAGAGTTGTACGGAGATACACAGCTGCTTGCTTAGAGCCTTTTTGGTTGTTTTGGCAAAGTTGACCAAGCAAATGTGTGAAGGACAGGCTGTAACATGGCTTTAGTGTTGTCATAATGGTACCTGGAAAAAGAGTACAGTGGAGAAAAACAGAGTTGAATGCTTTTGTTTTTCTATGTGATGTTGCCAGTTAGCTAGCCGATTGTCACAGGCTTCAGCTTCATGCATACGTTCTTCATTTAAACTTCAGTTTCAAATCACTCTTCACATTCCTTAAGGCTTTTTGTAGTATTTTGAGCAACGGCTTTTTAGAACTTACTGAAAAACATTATTTCTGCATTGTTTATTGTCAAATAAAGCTATTTCTTCTTTAAGTACGTTGCGGGGGGGTGGTATAAATCAGATTCTGTTTAAATATTCTGGGTTAAGAGTTACAAGGTGTACAAAAATATATATTTGAAGAGTGATGCATTTCAGCGCTTCCATAGATGTTTAAATAGACGCATTGTTGTATTTAACTAGTACAGTGCAGTGTATTCTGAACTAAAACGTGCTCACAGCTAGCTGGCTCTGCTGGACCTGCTGCCATCCTTCTGTACATTTAGTGTTACCATAACCTCACACTGAAGCCTTGACTCTGACCTTCCTTTTGCCATATAGTTATCCTCATCTGTTGAAATATTGTGAGCAATTTCTAGCCTTTCACCTTAGTCAGATCAAAAGAGGATGAAATGGTGTATTGACTCCAAAAAGCTTCCCTCAGGAAGTAAAACCATTAGACACTGCCACGAGTGCTGCCAGAGATGAAAGCCACGTTATGATACCAAATACTGAAGAGTTTAACTGATATAGCAGTCCCCGTTCAGGGTGACATAGATGCCTGTAAAGACGAAGAACCCAGATGTGGAAGGAACATGCCTTTAAGTGCCGCACGTCACCCCCTGAAACAGTCATGACACACAAGCACAGACGCTGCAGCACAGGCCTGATACGTTCAGATAAACCAGCTGCCACAACAGCGGGGTTTGGGTGTAATGAGCTGAAGTGGTCGGCTGTAGCAGTGCATCTTCCACTTGTCCCTTGAGCATGCCCGATCTACTTTCTTGCTGGGGCATAAATTTGTGCATTGCTATTTGCTCTACAAGAGTTTAGTGAAAACATCTTTGCTGTCCATGCTCCTCCCTGGGGCTGCTGGGGATGGAAGGGAATCCTTCTTGGAAGGGTCAGTCTGGCTCCTGGTAATACAGTGTGCATAGTGTATAGGTGCATAACAGCATCTGAACCCGGTGTTGTGTATGGCTGCTTGGAGCAGGGTAAGGTTAAGGCATCATCTAAAGCTCCAGCCATTATCTAGGGTGAAATACCCTTTCAAATAATCCTCTATCCCAATGACCCAACAGTGTTGTTGGGTTGAAATATACACCTTTGCTATGAAAAGAGGTGTTTAAACTCAGTGATGTTCTCTTTAAATGCTGGAGATATTGGATGTTAAAGACCAAGTTAGACATCCTATGCTGCCCTTATGAGCAGCAGGAAGCAAGCAGCCCCACTGGACAGCTTGGCTTAGCGTTTGAAACCAGGTCAGCCGAGCTGCACTCTGGAGGTGCCCATTTTTCCTTTGGCTGTAGAGGCAGCCAGAAGGGACCTGGATATCTGACTTCAGATGCTAAAAGAAGAGGTAAAAAGAATCCCCCCCAGAGTTGTTGTGGAGGCAAGATAGGGAAGAGTTGTCTGCTTTTGTGATGTATTGCCACTTTCTGATTCCCTTTTTAAAGGCTTGAAATGCAGGGCAGATTCCTTAAGCTGAGAAGGCACATTTCTGGAGAATCCAACTGTATTGTCAGTGTGAACTGAAGGGAGTTGAGTCGGCCAAAGAAAGTCCACAGGCTCTGGATTGCTAATGCCTGAATCTGTGCTGAGAAGAAAGGAGCTGGTTTTTTCTGTATAAAATCTTCTGCTGTTCCTAATGAATATTATTGCCCATCCTTCCTGCTCCAACCTCTGCTTCCTTGGATAACTTTCATCTCTCATCTTACCAGGAATGGCATGGCTCAACAGTTCGTTCTGTAGGACATTGAGCTTGTGACTGTGAGCCTGACTCTCCCTGAGTCAAAGGAAGGAAGCCAGCAGGAAAACTGACAAGTGGTTAAAGCCACAGCCTAGGATGTGAGAAAAACATTTCCCATGTGATTGCCCGTTTACCCAGTGACTTCAGAAGTGCCACAAAGTCTTGATGTTTTGGCTCACCATAGGCTGCTTTGGAGGGACCTGGGCACAGTGGCGATTCAGCTGTATCACACTGAACCAGGCCTTGCGGTGCAGATATCTACTTTGCTGTACTGGAAAAGGGAGGAAGGCAGTTTTTGAGGATCGATGTATTAAAGATTGAGGCACTGACTGGGTGGTAGGTACCCAGATATGTAAAGGGGGAGACCAACTCCAGCAGAAGGAAGTGGGAGTCTTTTTGCTGGCCATACAGTAGGACAGGAAAGCCTGTTTATGAAGTCTGAGCGAATTGTTCCCTGGGTGTGATGCTGAGTTCTCTGGGCTGTGGTCATGCCTGTAACAACAACCGGATGTGGCAAAACCCAAAAGCATGAAACTTCCCTGTTTGTCGCAGAAAGTACTGTGCAGGCCCCAGCAGATCTGATGCTGAGCCCCAGGAGTGTGACGCAGGGGCTGTAAGGATGTACTCTTTTGTTTATTCTCAAGCTTGAACACACCTGGTATCTAAGGATCCAACCTTACAACTCCAGAGGATAATGCAAGCAGTGCTCCTGGGGAAACACATCCCAAGAATCCTATGAACAGACTGGCTTGAAGGGCTTGGGGAAGTTGTTTGTTGATGGAAAAATCTAGCTAGTCATTTCAGCTGCTGGTTATTTTGGAATAGTTTTCTTCTACACTGCCTTTGCCCTTAAATTGCCAGTATTTTTTGAAGGCTTAAACACCATTTTATTAAAAACAAAACAGTACACACAGAAAAAAAAAAAAAGACCTTTGAATGAAGTATGGTGTTTGCCTGAAACTGCATTTTCTTCTTTTTTACCATTTTGCTCAGAGTATTGGAAATGTTGAATGTTAGTGCAAAACTGGTCTCCAGTTTTCTGGCTGGGGTGATGAGCTGTGGAGGCTGATTATTCCCCCCCACTAGTTGCGGATGCTGGAGGATATAGATAAGCCACTGCCATTTGATGGTGGCATTCATTTAAAGGTCTCTCTGCAATTGCCCATTCCAGCCTGCGATGCATCTGTGTTTTCATCCCCCATAGAGCAGCAAGGCGCGGCTGTGCTGTTGGATCAACCTGCCCTAAGCCTCACAGAAGTCAGTGCTGAGATGGGATTAGACTTTGGGATGCCTGGTCCCACCACATCCTCTCCTGATGTCTCCTCAGTGTCCCTGGAAAGCTGCTGCCACCGTGGGCATCTGATCCTTGGGTAGCTGCTCTGATCTTGGCAATCGAGGCGGTAACAGCCAATCTCCCTATTTGCAGAGTGGATCATTAATTTTCTGTGAGTGCTATACAGTGCTGCAGGATAGGATTTCCAATTCTAGTTCATTTCTAGTGAGGGTGTGTACTTGTGCCCTCAAAGGGTAAAAGTTGTTTTAAGTGTTGTCAAATAATGAGTCATCTCTGATTAATGTTTGACTGTGCAGGCAGCAGGCACTAGGACCTCTGGGATGCTGCATCTGCAGCCCTTACCAGAAGAGAAATCAGGAAATAACGCAGTCGCTCTTTCTGGGAGCATGCCCTTGACAATAAAGCTTTGCTGCTCCATATGAAAGAGAATTTACTCTCCAGGAATTCAGGAATCTGAGTCCAGGATTAGCTGTGAGCCACCCTGAGACATCATTGCCCTGCATGGACATTGCTGGGAGGTAAGTGCAAGGATCTGTTAGAGTTGCTGAGAGCAGGTGACATGTTGTCGTGTCTGCTCTGCCAGCAGAGAGGGATGGATGTGGTGTTGTAGTGTTAAGAGCGTTGTGGTCAGTGGGGAAAATGGCCAGGTGTCACCTGTTTTTCAGCAAAAGAGCTGTACTTGATGTTTGTCCAAGTGGCCCTTAGCGTGGCCGAGTGTTTGTAAAAAAGTTCTCGGGTTTGTGTTTCAAAGGTGTGTGCAGAATGCATCCGGCTCCGATTTCAGTGCAGAGGTGCAATCTGTCAATGCGTGCGTCCTCTCTTCTGCCACTGTGCCGTTGGGTCCTGGCAGGTCCTCAGCTGGTGTAACTCTGTGCACTGGAAACAATCCTCAACTCTCCAGTTCGGGGTTTGGATGGCTCCACCAAACCCCATCCTGTTTCTGTACTTCTCATCCTCATTGCAAATACACAGGTTGACTGATGAAAAAAAAGTGTAGAACAGCTCCAAAATGCAGAAGGGGGCAAATATCTCCTCCCAGGCTTTCTGCCCACACATCCTGCTTGTGGGACCGTTCGTTCCAGTGATAGGAACCGCATGGACCAAATATCTTCGAGAACAAATAGTTGCTTTAGGACAAGGCCTGTGAGTGTCACCAGGGGGAAGGTGATTCCCTGCCATTGCCCGCTGGTGGCTGGGTGGAGGCACTGGCTGGTTTCCAGGCTCTGCCAGCCGCAGGTATCCATGTGTGGGTGCATGTCCAGCACTCCAAGCCCTAGTGCCAGCTGGGCAGAAGAGAAGCCAGGCCCTTGGGCACTCAAACTGGAGGATCTGTCCCTTCCAGGCACAACCCGCTCTCTGCAAAAAGGGCAGGACCGAGCAAACAGTTGCTGCTTTTCACCAGAAATTACCATCCTGGAGCAGCAGAAAATGAGGGACCAACTGTAAGAGCTGCTGTCATCCTTCCTGGCTCAGCCAGCATGTCCCTCCTCGTACCAGGGTGTACCACAGCAAGGGGTATGGAGCGGACCGTGTCCTTAAGCTCTGTGCCCTTGAGGGCCTCACCCATGCTGGAAGTGAGCTGTGCTGCACCCAGTCACATCAGACTTTGGCTGTGCCTGCCAGGGAGCAGGCACGGAGCGGCTGCCTTTGCTGTCAGTCTACCAAGATAATACGTGTGGCACGGATGGGATGCAGGACGGGAGGATGTCTGTGCTAGCTAACAGTGGTTTCTGGAACAGATAAAACTGCTGCCTGCTAATATTAACCTTGCAACAGCTGCAGTTGTCCCTTTTTTGTTGTTGTTCTGGATAGGGACTGGCACGGTAAGTCCTCAGATCCTCGCCGTCATGGAGACAGGCTGGGGTTTACCACTGGTGATGCAGAGGAGTGACCATGACTCACCTTCCAAAAGAGGAATAGAGCAAAGACTGTCATCTCTGCTCCAAGGAGCTGAGTGAGCCCCCGCACCTCTCCCAGCCCAGCTGAGCTGGGAAGACATCGTCCTGCTCTGGGTAGAAGTTTCCAAGACCAACAGCGGGGTTTCCTGAGAGTGGTGCAGTCAATGCTGGGTCCCAGCCCTGCATTGCCCTGCCCAGGCTCTCGTGTTCACTGAGCACCAAGAAAACCAGTGCATGAATGAAACTGCCTCTCCCCGTCCTCAGATGTTTCTCTTCTCTGGAAGCTGATGCTTCCCTGGCTGTTTTGAGGTCTTGGAAACAGAGAGGAGCACCGAGCTGCTGGCATAGCTTCACAATATCTAGTTCCATGGTACAAAGGAGCAAGGTGGGCACGAAGCAGCTTCACTGATGTGGGTCTCATTGGACGGCATCTTTGGCAAAGCTGAAGAGCATGAGCTGCAAGCACTGAGAAATCCCACCTTCCTTTAGAAAAGGAAAGAAAGCATCTGCTGTCCAGCGGCAGAGAGGAATTTCAACTGCAAAATGAATCTGGAGGAAGGGTGCTGAAATCAGACCAAAACTTACAGAAGCCATGACTTGACTTTTAAGAGCGTGGTAGGTTTGGGATGATGCCATGGTATGGGGATGCATGGCGGATCAGGCAGTACCATACAGGCTTGGTGGCAGCGACCCAGTGGGTGGGCTGTCCCCCCTCCAGCCCCCTGTGCTGCTAAGGCAGCAGGAAAGGATTTGCCCACCAAGTCCCACCATTCACGATTTCAGTTGTTCAAGGAATTAGTGGATGGAACCCTTTGGGAAACCGCCCTCAGGGATAAAGGAGCTGAACAGAGCTGGTAGCTCTTTAAGGACATTTTTCTTACAACGCAAGAGCTCTGAATTCCAGTATGTTAAAAAAGTCGGGCAAGGAAGGCAGGAAACCAGCATGGCTCAGTAAGGACCTCCTGGTGAAACCAAAGTGTAAGAAGGAGATGTACAGGCAGTGGAACCAGAGACCCGTATCCTAGGAAGACTATAGGAAGGGTGTGTAGGAGTGGGATCAGGAAAGCTAAGGCACAGTTGGAGTGGAATTTGGCAATGGATGCAAAGAATAATAAGGGCCTCTACACGTACATTGGCCAGAAAAGGAAGGTTAAAGAAAATGCGTTCTCCCCCTTAAATAAGATGGGAGTGCTGGTGACAACCAACATGGAGAAGGCTGAGGTACTCAACTCCCCACCTCAGTTTTCAATGGTGATGTCTCTTTCCATGTGTCTCAAGCCCCGGAACCTCAAGGCAGGGACTGGGGGAACAAAGTCCCTCACATTGTAGGAGAAGATCAGGTTCAAGACCACCTGAGGAACCTGAACATACCTAAGTCTACAGGATCCAACAAGATGCAGCCCACGGTCCTGAGGGAATTGGGTGATGTAGTTGCCAAGCCACTCTCCATCATAGTTAAAAAGTTGTGGCAGTCAGGCAAAGTTCCCAGAGACTGGAAAAAGGGAAACACCACACACACTTTTTAAAAGGAGGGCCCTGGGAGCTACCAACCAGTTGGCCTCACTTCACTGCCTGGTAAGAACATGGAGTAGATCCTCCTGAAAGATATGTCAAAACTCTTGGAAGACAGGGAGGTCATTCGAGACAGCCAGCATGGCTACACCAAGGGCAAACCGAGCCTGATTAATCTAGCAACCTTCTATGATGGAGTGACTGCATCAGTGGACCAGTGAAGAGTTACAGATGTCATCTACCTGGACTTCTGTAAGGTGTTTGATATGGTCCCCCACAACATTCTTACCTCTAAATTGGAGAGATACAGGTTTGAGGATGGACTGTTAGATGGTAAAGAATTGGCTGGATGGCCACCTCCAAAGAGTTACAGTCAATGGCTCAATGTCCAAGTGGAAAGCAGTAACAAGTGGTGTCCCTCAAGGGTCCATAATTTAATATCTTAATCAGTGGCACGTATAGTGGGATTTAGTGGACCCTCAGCAAGTCTGCAGATGAGACCGAGCTGAGTGGTGCAGTTGATTCACTTGGGGGAGGGGATGCCATCCAGAGGGACCTGGACAAGCTGGAGGAGTGGGCCAACGTGAACCTCATGAAGTTCAAGAAGGCCAAGTGCATGGTCCTGCACCAGGGTTGGGGCAATCCCCAGTATCAGTACAGAATGGGGAATGAATGGATTGAGAACAGCCCTGCAGAGAAGGACTTGGGCATACTGGTGGTTGACAAAGTGGATGTGAGCCAGCGATGTGTGCTCGGAGCCCAGAAAATCAACTGTATCCTGGGCTGCATCACAAGCAGCGTGGCCAGCAGGTTGAGGGAGGTGATTCTGCCCCTCTGCTCTGCTCTGGTGAGACCCCACCAGGAGCACTGCATCCAGCTCTGGGGGCCCCAGTATAAGAAAGACATGGACCTGTTAGAGTGGCTCCAGGGGAGGCCAGGGAAATGATCCAAGGGCTGGAACACCTCTCCTATGGAGAAAGCTGAGAGAGTTGGGGTTGTTCAGCCTGAAGAGAATGCTCTGGGGACACCTTACCGCAGCCTTACAATATATAAGGGGGCTTACAAGAAAGACTTTTTACCAAGGCTTATAGTGACAGGATGAAGGGTGATGATTTTAAACTGAAGGGGAGTGGATTTAGCTTGGACATGAAGAAATGTTTTATGATGAGGGTGGTGAGACCCTGGAACAGGTTGCCCAGGGAAGTTGTGGCTACCCCACCCCTGGAAGTGTTCACAGTCAGGTTGGACAGGGCTCTGAGCAACCTGATCCAGTGGGAGATGTCCCTGCTCACAGCAGGGGAGTTGGAACTAGACGATCTTTAAAGGTCTCTTCCAACCCAAACCGTTCTATGAGTCTACGATCCTCCCCTGGAGGTGACACTGGGGATTAAGGGCTCCAGGAGGAGAAGATGTGCAATTTTGAATTAGAAAGTAGTCAAGTGCAGCCCAGCATGACAAGTTGGTGGCAGGGGGAGCACAGGGACCTTGCGCGATCATCCCACAGTCAGCGGATGTGACAATCTCGCCTCAGCCCAGCCTTGCCCATCAGCACCCCTCCCGCGGCAGGCAGCCCCTGCATCAGACCCACGTCAGCGTTAGTGGGGCCCTGCAGTCGGTGCCTCTTGTGGCCCTGATGACTTGGAGCTGCTGAAACAGGAGGTGAAATCACAAGTTCCTGGTAAAAATTCATTCCACCCCCGCAGCCGCGGTGATGGGCTCCTGTCGTGCCAGCAGTACCCGTGGGCAGTGGAGCACATCTTTGGATTCCAAGGCAGGGAGAGGGGGCAGGGGCCAGGACAGCTGGGTCCTGCTCCCACCTGTTTTTTTTGGCACAGGAGTTGTCCCCAGGGTACAGCCGGCGTGGGCAGGGTTTGCAACCTTCTCTAAGCCGTTTTCTCCATCTTGTGGCACAGGACTGCCCTGTGTGATGGACAAGCTTGCCAGGAGCTGCACGGGCCAGAATAGCCTATGGGGACAGCAGTGGTGGCCTGGGATGGGGACAGCAGTGGTGGCCTGGGATGGGGCCAGCTCAGCTCCATCCCTTCCCAGCCCCCTTTGATTTCTTCTCTGCAGGTAGCAGCAGGAGAGGACAGGGAGTCCCTGATGCGCTGACGGCTGACCATGTCTGGGGTGAGTGGGGATGCCACAGGGACGCCAGCGCTTCCCCTGCCGACATTGGGGTGACACGTCTCCCCCAGGACCACGGTGGGGTGGAGCAGGGCTCATACCCAGTGCCCCTTGTTCCTAGCCAGGGCTTCAGATGGTCCTTGGGGCTGACCCCGATGGCTGTGGGAGGCGGAGGGGGGCCAGCTCTCACTGTCCCTGCTGATGCTGTCTTCTCCCTTGCAGAAACACTGGCCCCCCGGGACGCAGTGTGTCGCCAAGCATGACCACACTAAGCCCAAGGCCCAGGAGCTGGCCTTCCGCAAGGGTGACGTGGTCACCATCATCGAGGCCGTGGAGGTGAGCCCGATGGGTGCTCGGGGGACGCGCTGCTCTAGAAGGGCATGGACAGGGTGGGACTCTAGTGCCATCAGCTGAGCTGCCAGAGTCAGCCCCCCCAGTTCCCAGCAGGATCCCCCCCTTTCTTCCCTTGCTCTGAGACCCTCTTGCCCCCAGGGCAAGGGCTGCTACCGTGCCAGACACAACGAGACGGGACAGGAGGGGCTGCTGGCAGCCAGTGCGCTGCGGGAGCGCGGTGCCATCCGCGTCGACCCCAAGCTCAGCCTCATGCCGTGAGTACAGCTGGGGTGGGGACCCGGGGTTGGGGGTCAGCAGCCCAGCTGAGCCCCTGGGAGCTGCGACAGTGGATGAGTCCAGCGTGTTTCCCCTCAGCCAGGTTTTGGGTGGGCAGGTGCGGGCAGAGCAGCCCTTAGCCATACCCTGGAGACGGAGGGATTTGCTGGAGCCAGCACCTGGCTTTAAAGACCCCCAGTTGTGCCCACCCAGCTTGGATAGACCTCATGGGGATGGGTTTTATGCAGTAGGGTCTATGTAGATTTGGTGGGGGCTCTGCTCTCCCCGTCTTGCTGCTGGCACTGGGGGAAGCCCGCCAGCATGGCCCTTCTCCCTAATGCCCCTCTCCCCAGCTGGTTCCACGGGAAGATCTCAGGGGTGGAGGCGGTGCAGGAGCTGCAGCCCCCCGAGGACGGGCTGTTCCTGGTGCGCGAGTCTGTCCGGCACCCTGGCGACTACGTGCTGTGCGTGAGCTTCGGCAAAGAGGTGATCCACTACCGCGTGGTGCATGAGGAGAACACGCTCAGCATCGACAGCCAGCAGTACTTCTCCAACCTCATTGACATGATCGAGGTGAGGGCCCTCTCCCCGGGCAGTGAGCCCCGCCAGTGCTGGATCAAGGGCGAGAAACTCATGGGGTCACACGGAGCAGTGGCAGGTCCCTGTCCCTTTCTCCTGTGGGTTTTCAGTGGATTTCGTTACCTGGTGTAATTTTCTGTCCCTGCCAAAGGCTCATGTTTCCCACTCAGTTTGGGATGCAACGGACAGATCTGGGATGCCCCAGAGATGTTCTTTGCTGTGAACCAGCCGTGCCGGCAGCAGCCCTGGTCCCCTGCCCAGGGCCACGTTTCCCCCCATCCCTGCTCATTCGGTGCTTCGCACAGCAGCGGGGCTCAGGGCATTTTGGAAAATGAAGATCCCGGCAGCCTCTGCTACCCCTGGACAAGGTCTGAGCCCCGCCGAGGCTTTGAGGCGTTTTGCCATGTTTCTCTCCCTTCCGAGCCCCCCTCTCACCTGCTGACCCTGTGGGGCTCCTGGGCTGCCCCGTTAGCTCTCGCCCTTCCAGCAAGCTCTTCCTCAAGGTCCATCTTCACCCTGTCTCATAGCTGCTGCCTGTCTCCTCTCCAGGGGGTTGCACTCTCATATGTTTTCCTCATTTAGACACAACTTCTGCTTTCAGGTGGGTCCTTTCCTCTTTCAGCTGCCCTGGCCCGGCTCTGTAACCACACTGGCCGTCCTGCTGCTTCCGCTCAAGTCACCTCTGCAAACCACCCTTGGCTGCTGCTGCAGCACCCGTCGGGGGTTTTAACCCCATCGGCTACCGTCTGGCTCACCAGTAGCATCCTATATCACCCATGGTCCATCACAGTGTTTCCCTGGCTGTGCCCAGAGGGGAGCAGGGCTGAGACGTGGGCTGCAAATTGCAGCACTGGGGAAAAAACCCAGTATTTTTTGCTGTCCAAGCTGAAGGGGCTCTGGGCCCTGCAAGGGTGGCGATGGTGGTGGGGTCCCATGGAGCATTCCACAGCCATTTCGTGGCTCCATGCCCTGAGCTTGGGCTAAGAGATGGCATTGCCACATCGCCTCTGTCTTTTCATCCCTCGGCAGCACTACATGAAGGAGCAGGGAGCCATCTGCACCAAGCTGGTGAAGCCCAAACCGAAAACTGGGATGAAGTCAGCTGAGGAGGAGTTGGCAAAAGGTAGGGGATGGCGGCAGAGGGTCACGGACTGGGTTTTGGGGACAAGGCAGTACGGCCCCACTGGTGGCCCCTGCTAACATACCCTTGTGCCTGTGCTCAGCTGGCTGGTTGCTGAACCTGCAGCACCTCACCCTGGGAGACCGCATTGGGCAAGGCGAGTTTGGAGGTAGGTGAAAAGATGGGGTTGGAGGTTCCCTGGTCGCAGGCTTCTCCAAATGGCACCCCCTCATGTCCCCTCCCCATCCCATGGCATGGGGGGTTCAGCTTAGGATGGGGGGGGTCAGGTATGGGGCTGAGCCTGACACCCCGTGTTCCCTCCCAGATGTCCTGCAGGGCGAGTATATGGGGCAGAAGGTGGCTGTGAAGAACATCAAGTGTGACGTGACCGCCCAGGCCTTCCTTGCCGAAACGGCTGCCATGACGTGAGTGACCTGTGGGAGGATGTGGCCTAACCCTGCCCCATGACCTGGGGATGAACAGGCACCCCCTTGACCCGGATCCCCTCCATTTCAGGAAGGTCCGGCACAAAAACCTGGTGTGTTTGCGTGGTGTGATCCTGCACAACGGCCTCTACATTGTCATGGAGTTCATGAGTAAGGTGAGAGCACCCGGCTGGTTCTTGGCCAGCAGGACCCGTCACTGCTTAGATCTGGGGACAAAATCCCCATTTGGGGGCTGAGTTGGATGGGTGCCAGGTGTTGCAGCCCCCACAGGAGGCAAAGTCTCAGGGCAGCCTCGTCCCGTTGGCCCTTATGTGTTTCTCCTCCTCTATCAGGGCAACCTGGTGAACTTCTTGCGCACACGGGGCCGGGCGCTTGTCCCAACTCAGCAGCTCCTCCTGTTTGCTCTGTAAGTCCATCTCCCTCCCTCTGAGCTGGGGACTGGTGCTCTGTGTCCCCCCAGGCAGCCCTGGGGGACACGCGGTGACACCGTGCTCTGCGTCACTTGGCCGTGGCAGGGACGTGGCTCAGGGCATGGACTACCTGGAGTCCAAGAAGCTGGTGCACAGGGACCTGGCTGCCCGCAACATCCTCATCTCTGAGGAGAATGTGGCCAAAGTGAGCGATTTTGGCTTGGCGCGGGTCAATCCCAAGGGTGCGGATGCCACTTTGCTGCCTGTGAAGTGGACGGCCCCGGAGGCCCTGAAACACAACGTGAGTGATGGTGGGAAGGGGGGGGGGCTGGGCAGTCCCCCCAAAGCAGCTCACCCCCTTGGGTCCCCCCTGCTTGTCCCCTCTCCTGCCAACCCATCCATGCCCCATGGTGGCTTCTGGCTCATTCAGCCCTACATCTCCTGAAGTTCAGGCTCTGCCCTGACCAGTCCTTGCCCTGGTGCATAGCTGGAATTGGGGCAGCTCCGGCGGGATGCGGCAAGATGGACCCAAGGCCATGTGGGTGATGGGAGGAGAGGGGGTTCGCACCCCAGGGACCTGAGGGTGGTGGGAGGCAGGCGCTGTCTCCTGTTCTTGCCCTCAGGGAGGGATGGGTGCCCAGCACGGCCCCCGGCCGGCTTCAGCTACCCCTCCTCCTGCTGCTGCAGAAATTCTCCTCCAAGTCGGACGTGTGGAGCTACGGGATCCTCCTGTGGGAAACCTTCTCCTTCGGACGGGCGCCATACCCTAAACTGGTGAGTGCTCTGCTGGGGGACGCTGCAGGTCACACCCTGCTGGCACCGATGGGACGGGGACATCCCACTGTCTGCTGGCCAGGGTGAGCCCCTGGCAGGGGGGGAAGGGGAGATCCCAGCTGACTTTTCCATCCTGCCAGAGCCTGAAGGAGGTGACGGAGCTGCTGGAGCAGGGTTACCGCATGGAGCCCCCCGAGGGCTGCCTGCCTGCCGTCTATGCCCTGATGAAGAGCTGCTGGGAGCTGGAGCCGGGCAAGCGGCCATCCTTCAAGAAAATCACAGAGAAGCTGCAGAAGGAGCTGAAGCACCTGAGGGATGTTTAACCCCTCTCCTGTTCCTGGGATCCATGGCCAGAAGCCCGCCCCAGACCCGCTGGGGTTGGGAGCGGCATGGCAAGGGGTGGACCATGGCACTGCTCTCTCCCTGTGGAGATGGGGCAGCAGTTGGTGGGGGGGGTCTCTCCTACAATGGGGCACCCAAAGAGGAGGCAACAACCTCCCCCCATCCTGGCATAGGTCCTTCTTCCCACCACACATCCCAGAGAAGGTTCCCATGGGGTCAATCTCCCTTGACCTGCTGGGGTGGGGAGAGCAGCCCCAAGGGGGGTCCATGCCCCACACACCCCACACTCAGCCCTGGACAGCAGGTGCTGGACGTGGGGGTCCTTTCAAGCTGCCCCTCCTGGTGACAGGGGACAGGACAGGACATTTCCATTTGCTGGAGGATGAAACCCCACCGCAGCCCCGCTCCAGCCACCCAGCCCCGCGCGGGGACGCTGGGCGCAGCCAGCTAAACCACACAGATTTGGGCTTTTTGATTAAACCAAAGAAATTAGTTAAACAGCATCTTTAAGTCTCTGGGCTCAAATTAGGCCTATCCCTCACTTGGGGCCTGGCAAAGCACAGCGAAAGGCTTGGGGGGTGTCCAGGAGCTCCAGCCCTCAGAGCCCCCCATGCGCAGCCCGGCCCCTCTCCCCTTGGGGCTCTGCGCAGCCGGGGATTATTCTTTTAATCAGAGTCTGTATGGGAATTGCTTGCGTATAGCTTACGGGAGCAGGGCACGTCCTCCAGCAGCAGGAAGCCCCTGGCCCCGCCGGCTCCCAAGCAATCTCAACGTCTCGGTGGAGCTGGGATTAACGGGGGCATGGGGCCGCACGCGCGCGCGTGTGTGTGTGTTTGTGTGTGTGTGCCCGCCCGCCGCCTCGTCTTCCTTCCAGTCCTTTGACCCTCGATTGGGTTTTTTCAGCTAATCCTCTTGTGTCTCCTCTGCACCGATTTCTTGCGCCCCCAACCCCCCTGTGCCAGTGTGGGTGGCTTTAGGTGCCCACGGTGCAGGGCTCCCCCCAACAGGATTTGGCCCTGCGGGTGCTGCCCTCCATCGGGGCCCGTGCAATGGGGGGGGTCTTTCAGCCCAATCCAGGGTGCGCTGGGGCTCAACGTCCCCTTCCACCTCTCCATCGCCCTGATGAGGCAGCACCCCATTGTCCCCCCGCGCCACCGTCCCCCTGCACTGCTGTCCCCCCCCAAGCACCCTTGGGTGTAGCGAGCAGCACGGGAAGGTCTTTCCACCCTGGTGGCTGTGGCTTCCCCTCCTAATGCCTTAATCCTCCCCTGATCCGCGGTGCCCCTGGGGCAGCCGGTCCCGCTGACCTTGCAGGAGCTGGCCCCAGGGAAGGGACTCGGCGGCACCGGGCACTGTGGAGCACGGGCTGCCACAGCCACCCACCCATGGCCTCCTTCTTCACGGCCACCCTGAAGAGCTTTCGGAATGGTGAAGAGGAGCCGCCCAAGGGGCCCCCCAAGGATGGCAAGGTGGCCACACTGCCCAACGGCATGGCCCGCGAGGAGTTTGAGGAGTACCAGCAGCAGCTGCTGGAGGAGAAGTAAGGTTTTGCCGGCGCTGGGGGGTCATTGGGGTCCACCAGACACCAGGACTGGGGTCCTACCTGCCGTGGGCTGTCCCCAGGGTGGGACAGGGATAGGGAGGCAGCCGGGGCAGGGCACAGGGGCAAAGTGGGTGCCCTTTGGTGCAGGATGGGAGGTCCCTGTGGGTGCTGGCACGGGGCAGGGACAGTGGCTCGGTGCACAGTAGGTGACAAGGGGCACCCCTGGGCGTCAGCGCCCTAGAGCGGTGGGTGTCTGGTGCCAGCCCAGCACCCATGGAGCTGAGGGACGACAGGGGCCAGCATGGGATTGCGTTATGGTCCCGCCTCCCTGGGTCGGGGTGCTGTGGGGACCTGGTGGCCCAGCATCGGGGAGCTGAGAGGCCACAGGAGGAGCAAGTCCCTCCAACGGGCACCTTCACTGAGCATCCCTGCTGGGGTCGGAGGGGTAGGATGTGGCCCCTGCCCCCAGGTCCCCATTGCAACCCTCTTGTGGACATTTGCACCCCCTTCTTCTCCCGCCCCGGCCCGGGGCTGGCACAGCCATGCTGCTGCCAGAGGACTGGGGCGATGCCAGGGGTGGGGGGCAGTTCTGGCAGGGGGCTTGGTGAGGTGGGGGGTGACAGTGTGGGTGCCCGCTGCTGCAGGATGGAGCGGGACAAAGCCTTTGTGCGGAGGAAGGCAGAACGGGCCACTGTACGGATGCACCTGCGGGACAAGTACCACCTGGCCCAGGTAAGGACCAGCCCGCCTGTGGTGGGACCTCGGGGGTCTTCCCCCAGCTCCTCCAGCCCCTGGGACAGCCCCAGGCCAGGCAGCTGCCAGGCCTCCCCCGGGAGGGGAGAGGATTCCTGAAGAGGGCAGCAAACGGCCGCTGTCTCCATCCGTCCTGTCCGTCCACGTGTCTGTCCAGCCGTCCGAATGTGGAACCGGGCAATGCCAGGGTCCCCCCGGCATCCCCAATACCCCCACAGCGCCCAGCTGGCCCTGAGGGACCTGCCGTCCCCCTGACCCCCACCCCATGGCTGGTGGGCGCCTAGTGGGTAACCCCGATGCCATCTCCCATCCGTGTGCAGGACGAGCGGGATGATGCTCAACTGCACATTGCCGGCGGCGCGGTGGAGCTGCCGCAGGAGCTGGCCGCCATGGTGCACAGCGAGGAGGAAGAGGAGGAGGAGGAGGATGGCGGCGCCGGGGCCTTTGCCTTCCTGACAAAGCTGCGGGAGGTTGACCTGCCGGCGCTGCGGGACCGCGCGTTGGGCAGCGTGGACGAGGTGAAGGAGAAGTGCACCCTGATGTAGCATCGCTGCCCACCCTGCTGGTGGGTGACACTGGCAGCTTTGGCGGTCAGCCCCTGCTGCCCCCCCGGGAGTGATGGGATGCGGGTGGGAGTCCCAATATACTCACTGGAGGGGGGGATTCGTCCCCAAAATTATTCCCTGTTGCTTTTCTGGGGTGCTCTGGGTGGGTGCTGGGATGCAGGACACCTGGGTCCCCTCTAGCTGTGCTGGCCAAGCCCGTCCCTGCAGTGCCCCTGGTGTGAGCCCCTGGACGGGGCCAGTGGTGGTCCCTGATGCTCCATCACCTGCAGGAACCAGCCCAGGAGCCTCACACACCATTTGGCTTAATAAACATGGCTTTTACCGGCACCAGTCTGATTTTCCTGCCGTACTCCTTGTCTGCACGAACCCCGTCCTGGGCGGGAGGAGGACACGATGACACCGCTGCAGCAGAACTGCCCCAAGTGCCCCCAAGCCAGCACCCAGCCCATTACGCTCAGCTGCCAGATCCATCCCCCCATTCTGCAGCATCCCCCAGGCACGGCCGCATCCCAGTGGTGCACGGAAGCCAGTGGGACCCAGTGCCCCCCCTCGGGATGTTCCTTGGGGGTAGCACTGGCAGGAGTCGTGGTAGCATTAAACCTGCCCTCAAGCATCCCCCTGCCACAGGGTCCCTTTGGCCGGGGCTGGGGTGCCCAGATCTCTTGCCCCTTCAGGGACTTGCTCCCTGCTCCTGGGCGTTCGGCAGTGGCACTGGCTTAAAAGCCGCCACGCCGGAAGGCTGGGGGCTGCTGAGATCACTAATACCTGCCTATTTTAGTGAGGTTTAATCTGCCTGAGTAGCCTGTCCCCGAGGACTAAGCTAGCTGAACCTTTGTAAAATGTACCGCCAGCGCTGGCCCCAACGGCACGTCCCCGCTGGAGCAGGAGCCGCCGGGGGAGTCACGCTGTGTTTGCATGAAAGAAAGGACGCGCTGAGCCCCCTCCGTCCTCCCCACGCTGGGGCCATCTGCTCCGGAAAGGCCAGCGGGGACAGCCCTGCCCTGGGCTGCCTACGACTGTGGCAGTGGGGCTGGGAGGGAGCGACCGAATCCAGCGCAGGTGTGGTGGGAGTTGTGCCACGGAATTCACTCATCGCTGTCACAAGAGCCACAGGTCTCAGCCACCCTGGCCGGAGCACCCAGAGCTGTAGGAACTCCAGCAAGAAAGTCCCTGGGTGCATGAGGTGCTCGGTTCCTCCAGGCACCCACCACTCCAGGTACCAGTCAAGGGGCTGGTGACTGCTGGAGCATCCCAGGGAGTGTGTGACAGGCACATCAGGGCTTGATGCCTGGGAGCCTCCTCGTGTTTGGTGGCCCTGCTGTCCCCACTGTTCCTGCTGTCCCTGCCGTTGCTACCAATCCTGCTTGCCAGCCTTTCTTCAGAACTTGCAAAATCTCCCATTTAGGCACAAAAATCCACCTGTGCTGCATGGGATGGGGCCGTCCACGTCCCCACCGGCTCCCCAGCCAGGTCCCTGATGGGGCGGCAGCAGCCGTGGCACCCTGCACAGCCCCATTCCCACCCCACGTTCTCACTCTCCCCAGGGCTGGGGCTCGACGCTGAGTGCCGGCGGCCGGGATAGTGGCACCGAAGTCTCCAACGTGCCCCGTCACAGCGGGTTCCTCCATCTCCGCTCTGTACCGGGGCCTCATCCCACCCTGACAGGCAGTCCTGCTCCCAGTGCTCCCAGTGGGGCTGCGCGGGAGCTCCCAGTGCTGGCTGGGATTCGGGTCAGGACCCTCCACCAGGTCTCCTTAGCTAATCGTCCTGCCCCCCCCGCTGCCACCTGCCTCCCACTCAGCACCCTTTTGGGTCACCCCTGCCGCCTCCCCGCCTGCCCAAGGCCTCTTAATGAACTAAAAAAGTGATAAATCCTTGGCCGAGCTGGTCACGTGAGGCCGGTGGCCCCCGGCCGCCCCCCGGTCCGACCCCCGCCTCCGGCCCCACCACCCCGGTAAGCTGACGCAGCGTCTCTAAGCGTTAGCAGCTTTGCCCGCTAATAGGATTAGGGAGGTTTAAAACTGTCATTTGAGTGAACTAAACCCCCTGATACTCTGCATTGCACCTTCTTAACCAATTTGCCTTCAATTAGGGTAATTGGGAAACTAGCAAAGAAGTATAGCATTAATATTTTAAAGTGATGAAGCGATTACGGGCCTTGGACGAGGAAGCAAATCAATTTGCTATCTGCTCCTAAAAGGCAATTATAATCATTTGGCAAATAAGCCTGCTGGCCTCCCCCCTCCCCGTGCGAGCCAACACCTTAAGGCGGCCAGCGGGGCCGGCGCCACGCACACTGCCCGGTGGGCAGCGCCAAAGCCGGGCAGCTGGGCAGCCCCCTGCTCCTAAAACCAGCCCTGGCACCCCGGGGACTGCAGGTCCTGGCACGGCGGCATCTCCCTGCACCCACCGGGGCTGGGGGGGCACCCTGGGGGAAGCCACCGAGGGCCACCGGAGCAGGGGACCCGGATCTGGCACCCGCCGATGTGGCCGGCGTGGACACGGGCGCTGGCCCCACGTGTCATCCCTGCGCCTGGGGATGTCCCCAAACCTCCCCCAAAAGGCAGCACCTCCCTGCACACCCCTGCTGCAAGTGGGGCTGTGTGGCGTGGGGGTGTCACCCCAGCCCCAGGGGCATGTCACGCCATCCCTGGTGTGGGGTCACGTCATCCTTGGGGTGGTGGCACGCTGTCCCCTGGGTGATAGCATGCCATCCCCAAAACAGCGTCACTCTGTCCCCAGAGCAGTGTCAGATGGGGCAGGCGAAGCTGCACAGCCCGGCTGGGAGGGACGCCGAGATGGCCTCCGGGCCCAAACTGGGGTGCAGAGGTGGCTGCGGGGTCCCACCGGCAGCAGTTCTGGTGGGGAGGGCACAGACCTGTGTGGGGCCAGCAGCCACCTGGCACGGGGTCGGGGGGACGGGGGTCCAAAAACCCCAGACTGACATTTGCCATCCGAAAGGGGAACCATGGCGAGGAGAGGAAGGGAGTGGGAGGAAGCCGAGACGGTGGCTGGGGGTGGCAGAGTTTGCAGGTGGCAGGAAGAGGCTTTTGGGAGAAAGTAAAAGTAAACCGAGAAAGAAAAGGGCAAAACCTGCCTGGCAGGATAGGGGCGTCCAGTCAGCACTGAGGACCCCCCAACCGGAGCACCCCAGGACCCCCATCATGATGTTCCCGTTGTCCCCTGAGCTGGGATCCCCGGGGCGGCAGTGGGATGGGGGAGGAGAGGGATGGTGTTTCTGCCCCCCAGCCCAGCTGCCTCTGCCCCACACCCTCACAGCCAGGGCCTGTGGGCAGCCCCCAGGGATGGTCCCCACGGCTGGACCCTATAGCTGGTCCCCACAGCGTGTCCTCTTGCCTAGTCCCCGTGCTCAGTCCCATGTCCGTGAATTATCCCCACACCTGGTGCCATGGACGGTGCCCAATGCCTGCAACCCACGGCTGGTCCCCACACTTGGTCCCCCTGCCTGGTCCCTACCCCTGGTCCCCATGGCTCTTCCCCACGCCTGGTGTCCATACCAGGTCCCCAAGGCTGTTCAGGGTGCCTGGTCCCTACGCCTGGTCCTCCCACCTGGTCCCCACACCCAGACCCCAAACCCAGTCTCCTCACTTCATCCTCACAGCTGGACCCCGTGCTGTCCTCATCTCTGTCCCCACACCCAGTGCCCATCGCTGGCTGTCACACCTCTCCCCATCCCCGGTCCCCATCCCTGGTCCCCACATGGGCAGGGCTCTGCAGGCAGCATCACCGGGAGCCCACGGGGCCACACATGCCGTCACCAGGGCCACCCCCAAGCTCATCATCCCCATCCCGAGGGGGGTGACACGACACCCACCACCGCAGCATCCCCATCCCGCTGAGACTTGGGGTGCCTGCCCTGGACCCCATTCCCGTGGCAGAGCCTCGGCGGCCGAAGGAAATCCTCCCCCCTTCCCCCCACCACCCCAGCCTTTCTTCTCCGCTCCCCCTGTTCCTAATTCTTTTTCCTCGCCCGTAATGAGGGGATTACAAGGCAAACTCCAGCAGGACGCCTTTGTGGGGAGACAATCTGAGTGGGGAAGGCAGTTCGGGGCTTTGTCCGCCGCCGCCCCCCCGGACCCGCGCTGGGGGGACATTTAGAGCAATTACTTGTCCAGAAAGTAACTGTCAATCATTCTTAAAGGGGAAGGCCTCCAATTAATAACCTCGTCTTAATCCTTTGGACTCATTTCCAATCTGCGGTGCCTTGGTGACATCTGCAACACTAAATAAAGATTCTCCCGAGCCTTAGCGCGGCGGTTCTGTGACAAATAAGAAGACTAGAGGCAACTTTGGCTGCCAAAGCTGCGAGATTGGTGAGGTTGAGCCGCTTGTTTGGTTCCCAGGAGGGACCGGCAAAGTTAAATACTCCTGGAAAAGCCGAGTTGGGCCCAGCAGGTAACGCTGTTTTATTCCGATTCGGGAGGAAGCGCCGGGGAAAGATGCTGAAAAAGGGAGCGGGTGTCCCCGGGGTGTGCCTGGGGCTGGGGCCGGGGTTGGCACCCTTCCCTGGGGGGCTCGGGAGTGGGTGCTGGCCGCCCGTCAGCATCACTCGCACCGATTTACACCCAGGGCCGGAGGGCAGGAGCCACCCACGCTCCCCACCGCCCACTCCAGCCGCTGCAAACAGCCCGTCCCAGGTGGCCTGAGCCTGGGCGGCCAAATTCAGCACCCAGACGGGCTTTCGAAAGCAAAAAAATGGGACCTGGAGAAAGCTGGGGCTGTCCCCAGGCTGTCCCCACTGCTGGGGGAGGCCACTTGTCCTCGTTGATGCTCTGCTGCTTTCCAGCACGGGGAAGCAATTTTTTTACCCATTTCAACCAGGGCTTGATGCCGTTTCTGATGCCTTTTTGGGTGTCTTTAATAACAGGCGCCCCCTCCCCCCCGGCTGGCAGCCCCTGCAGGAAAACCATGGGTTGGGGCATCGAGCAGATGGGGGGGAAAAAACCCCTCCCAAGGCTTCAGGTCCTTGTGGTTCCCAGCACAGTTTTAAAGCTTAAGGGCTTAAGCCCAAAAATTGCCGCCGGGATGACGGCAGCCACAGGAAAATGTCCGACGGGGGCAGGGAGGCGGCTTTCGCTGCCGTACCCGCTCAGCGCTGCCCGTTTTTAGGCAGGATTGCCGAAACGCCAGCGGTGAAGGCTCTGGGGTCCTGGGGCCAGTCCCTGGAAGATGGGGACTATGGGGTGGCTGGTGCCGATGTCCCCCAGCCCGACCTCGCCGGGGTCCCCCTTTCCATGCCCAGGGACATCCGTGACCCCGGCCAGGACGAGGCAGAGTCGGGGGGGGGGAATAGGAGGAGGAGATCCCGGCCCTCGCAACCCCATCCTGCAGGGTCCGGTGCTGCCGTCCTGCTGCTGGGTCACTTCTGCTTGGTTATTTTGCTGTTCTTCGCTTCATTCCTGCTCCCGTGCCAGGCTTTGCTCTGCTTCCCCGGGGGTTTTTAGCCTCCTTTGCTTTCAGAGGGGGTCAGGCTGGGGGGGACGACGGGGGCTGCCCCCAGCTCTGGCCCTGACCTCCATCACTGCAGCTCATCCCTGTCCCCCCCCATTGCCCCACCTCTTCTCTCCTCCCGCTTTGCCCCATCTTGTCCCCCGGCCCCCCCCCCGCCCCGGAGGCCTGTCTCAGCCGTCCCCCCCAGTGCCCATCTCACCCATTCCCACTGCCCCAGATGCCCCCAATCCCCACCCAGCCCCAGGTCCCCCCCCATTGCCCTGTGGGGCCGCTGAACATGGCTGGGCAGGGCAGGCAGGGGACCCTGCTGGGGTGCTGGGTCCCCCGGGAGGTCCATGCCCCAGGTGGGGGCTCTGGGTGCTCACCCCCTCTCCCCTCTCCTTGCAGGTGCAGAGCTGCGCAAATGAGAAGCGGGTGAGTGAGAGCGGGATGGTGGCGGCGGACCCCCATCCCCTCCCTGTGTCCCCAGCCCCAGGACACGCCGCGATGCTCGCACGGTGACAACAGGGCCCCTGCTCCCCCCAGCACCCACTCACCCCTGCCTCAGGGCACCCCAGGGTGCAGCACCCAGCACCCCTGCCCCAGCTGGCGGCTCCCCCTGGGGCACCCCAAGACTGCAGCCCCCCCTGCGGCAGCAGGGCCAGACCCGGAGCCGGCCAGAGCCCCTGGGGGCTACAGCACACCCCACGAGGGGCTGTGGGGCGTCTTGGGGGGCCAGCAGCTCCCAAAGCCGCACACGCTGCAGGCACAGTGCTGCACGTGCACGGCATGCACTGCGTGCGGGCCCTGTGCATTCACTGCACACACTGCGCGTGCAACGCACACCGCAAACGCCGCGTGCTGCACACGCTGCATGCACGGCCCCTGGGCACGCACTGCCTGCGTCGTACATGCTGCACCCACCGCACTGCACATGCTGCACAGCCTGCACGCGTCGCACACGCAGAGCACCTGCTCTGAGCGCGCTGCAGGGGTGCTGGGCACACACTGCACATGTTGGGTGAGCTGCACATGCTGTACGCATAGACATTGCACACCTGCACGTGCAGTGTGCTCTGCACTGCATGGCATGCGCTGCACACTCTGCACATGCCTCCGCTGCACGCGCTGTGTGCGCTGCACACAAAGGCACCGTATGCACTGTGCAAACACTGCACACACACTGCACGCACTGCATACCCACAGCTACTGTGCACGGATTCACGCTGCGCCCCCACGCTGGGCACACCCCACACACGTTGCACACGCTGCACTCCTTGCACACACACTGAGCTGTGCACACTGCACGCACTGCATGCACTGCGCACATACACTGTGCCCTGCATGCTGCAGGCGCAGGCGTCGCATTGTGCACGCTGCATACACGGCACACGGACACTGCACCCCGGACACTGAGCGCTGCACCCACACTGCGCACACTGCACGCGATGGACACGCAGCACAAACTGCCCCGCACACTCACGCCCACACTGCGCACACACTTCACACCTTCCACCCATCACTCAATCCACTGCATGCACGCACCCCCACACCCCACCGCGCGCACCCCGAGCCCCCCACCCTGCCCACGCAGGCAGGCTGCACCCTGCACGCATCCCTGCGTGCGCACAGACGCACGCCTGCTGCAGATGCACTGCTCACACCCGCGCTGCCCACTGCACAGACACCCCACGTGCGCACAGCCTGAGCAACACTCGACACCCACCCTCGGCATGGTCCCTCTCGGGACCCCCATTTATTCCCTCCAAGAATTAATTGATGGTCCCTTTCCCTCCCCACACCCATTTGGGCATTAGGTGAATTTTTGCCGGCAGGTCTGCCTTCCCCTTGGCAGAAGTGCCCCAGGATTACGGCTTTCTGCCCCATTTTCGTGTTTGCCTACATCCTCGCGGTAGAGGAGGACCCTTAATCCCCAGCAAATACTACAGGAAGATTTCAGATGCTGGATAAAAAGCTTAAAGATGAAACGTTGCAAGGGTTGAAAATGCTTATAAGCATGCAGAAAAAAGGTTATTAGCCGGGGGATGGTGCCGGGTCGCTCCGGCCGTACTTGGGGACCAACATTGAGTCCTCCAGCATTTCGGGGCCAGACTGGTAGCCCATGGGGAAGAGGGGCTGGAGGAGAGGAGCTGAGCTGGAAGGAGGGAGCTGACCCAGGCTTGGTGCCCTCCACACCAGGGCAGGGGGGAGGTCAGGTCAGGTCTCAGTGACGGCGCTTTCATAAAATCCTCCACTTTGGATGAAATTTGACTTTTAGCTTCGGGTGGGTGCATTGGCCTGGTCGCATCTCACAGTGGAGCCAAGCACAGGGTGACCAGGGCACCCGTCCCCACGATCCCAGGTCAGTCCCAGGGACACTGCGGCCCCGGGATAACACTGCGGCAGAAGAGAGGATTACGCCTTTGCGTAACCTGTTTCTGGGGCCGCCCCATCCTCCCATCCGTCCATCCACTTGTCTGTCCGTCCCCGGCCTGGGGTTGCATGGAGAGGGGGGGTCTGATGTCCCTGTGCCCCAGCTAACCCCTGCGGTCCCCTCGCAGGCGCCGTCATGTTCCTGAATAAGTGCGAGGGGGACCTGGGTGAGCTGCGGAAGCCAGGGGACGGCGAGGGCACCCCGCCATCCGCCGTCGAGGAGGAGCAGCCCAAGAAGAAGCACCGGAGGAACCGTACCACCTTCACCACCTACCAGCTCCACGAGCTGGAGCGCGCCTTCGAGAAGTCCCACTACCCCGACGTCTACAGCCGCGAGGAGCTGGCCATGAAGGTCAACCTGCCGGAGGTCCGCGTGCAGGTAGGGAGGATGCCCGCTGGCCCCAGCACCCCGGACCTGTCCCCTGGGCAGTGGCAGAGGGACCATCCTGGTGCCGGAGAGCTTTGCTCTGCTCCCAGCTCCGCCGCCGCCACCTTGCTCTGTGCCTCAGTTTCCCCATTGCTCGAGATGGGAACGGCATCTCCACAGAGCCGGCTGCTCCTGCCAAAACCAGAGAAGGAATTTAATGGCTGAGCCTCGTTCTGCCATGAGGTCCCAGTTCGGCCCACATGCCAGAGGGTCCATTTGGGCAGGGAGATGGTTTTTAGAGATTTTTTTTGCCCTGCTGGTGGCAGTTGCTCCCATCCCTCCAGCTGATTCTGCGGGAAAGCAGCCAAACCTCAGCCGCTCATGATCACTTCCAGGTCTTTAGGGCTGAGGAAGCACAAGATCCTCATGGATTTAGGGGTTTTAGGCTTGTTGGAGTGGGGCGGTTCTGGGGTGGTGGCAGGGCTGGGGACATTTCACTCCCTGAGCTGCAGGAGAAGACTCTGTTGGGGGAAGATGCAGCCTGGGGAAGAGCCTGGGGTCCCGCCAGTCTGCTCCCCACCACCCCTGGGATTGACAGGGTGAGACCAGGGAGAGGGAGGGGGTCAGGTAGTTGAAGATGCAACAAACCCACTGTGAAGCAAAGCAGTAATCCCCTTACAAATGAACCGAGTTTCCCAGGCCTCAGCCCCAGTCCAAGACAATGCAGTCTTTTTCTAGGGGGGGTCCAGTCCAGACCATAGGGACACCTCTGCTGAGCTCTCTGATTCAGTTTCACAGAATCATAGAATCATTTAGGTTGGAAAAGACCTTTAAGATCATGAAAACCAACTGTTAGCTTAGAACTGCCAAGTCCACTACAAAACCATGTCCCTAAGCACCACATCTACATGTCTTTAAAATACCTCCAGGGATGGTGACTCAACCACTTCCCTGGGCAGCCTGTTCCAGTGCTCCACAACCCTTTTGACTGATGAAGAAATTTTTCCTAATGTCCAGTCTAAACCTCCCCTGGCACAACTTGAGGCCTTTTCATCTTGTCCTATCGCTTGTTACCAAGGAAAAGAGACCAACCCCCACCTCACTACAACCTCCTTTCAGGTAGTTGTAGAGCACAATAACATCTCCCCTCAGCCTCCTTTTCTTCAGACTAAACCACCCCAGTTCCCTCAGCTGCTCCTCACAGGACTTGTTCTCTAGACCCTTCACCAGCTTTTTTGCTCTTCTTTGGATACGAAGTTTGCACCAGTATAGCCCAGTGCCCACCAATAACTGTGACCAGCCCATGGGAGACATCCCCTTTGCAGTCCAGCCATTCATCTTTACTCCCCTTTGCATCACGCAGCAGATGGCCCGTGACATGTGCTGCTGGGGGCTCTGGGGACACGGGGACCAGCGCTCTAATGAGCAGCTCCTGCACGGTGAGACATCACCGCTGGCCTCGGCTCACCGGTCCCTCTCGTTCCTGCTGGGTTTTGGTGCAAGCACGGCAGTTTGGCTTCTAAAAGCTTTTACTGAGGGGCTTTTCAAAGCCAGATAACATTATACTGAGGACTGTATGGGTGTTTGCAGAGCTGGGGTGTGCGTTCCTGTGGAGCAGCAAGGGCAGGGGCTGCATGGTGACACCTCTCGCTTTCCATACCTCAGAGATACCCTCCGTCTCTGGGGTTTGTGGGACAGGTTTGGCAGAGGTGCACAATGTGCTGGGGATTGCTGGAGCCCTGTGGGGCACCTCACGTGGGACCCAACACACAGGGCACCCCATGTGGGATGGGATACCCCATACGGGACACCCTACCTGGCGCGCTTCATGTGGGGCACCCCACGTGGGACACAGCACAATGGGGCACCCCATGTGGGCACAGCATGTAGGGCACACTGCAACGGACCGGCTGGGCACGGTGGGGCTCAACCTGGCTCTCACCTCGCAGGTCTGGTTCCAGAACCGACGAGCCAAGTGGAGGCGGCAGGAGAAGATGGAGGCCAGCTCCATGAAGCTCCACGACACCCCCGTGCTCTCCTTCAACCGGCCCCCCATGACCCCCAACGTGGGTCCCATGACCAACTCCCTCCCGCTCGACCCATGGCTGACGTCCCCCATCTCCAGCGCCACCACGGTCCACAGCATCCCTGGCTTCATGGGAGCCCCCCAGGCCCTGCAGCCCCCCTACGGCGGGCACTCCTTCCTCAACACCCCCCCACCGATGGCGCAGGGCATGCAGCCCATGGCCCCCACGCCTTACCAGTGCGGCACCACCTTTGTGGACAAGTACCCGCTGGAGGAGGTGGACCAGAGGAGCTCCAGCATCGCCTCGCTCCGCATGAAAGCCAAGGAGCACATTCAGACCATTGACAAGACCTGGCAGCCTATTTGATGAACGCTCCCCTCCGGCCCCTGCGGTCCCCGGCTCCTGCCCCTGGCATCAGCTCAGCCCCCGGGGCGGGAGTAGGGGGGTGACGGTGGGATGCTCAGCAGGACCAAAGCCGGCGCAGGGCAGGGCTGCCGGGCTGCGTCTTCCCCCTGCCGAGCCAGCGCATCGGTGGCAGGGGAACGAGCCGGGGTGCTGGCGGGACCCCGCCGCAGGGGAGCACCCTGGCAGCCACCCACGGCCCCTCTGCCTTGCCGAGGCACCGGCCCCGGGGCTGAGGAATCTGGCCAAGGCTCTGGCATCCTACCAGGCCACCCACCGCCCCCAGTCGGACACCTCCTGTCCCATGCCCCTTCCCTTTCCCATTATTATTAATTTTTTTTTTTAATGCTGCAGATTTAAACAAAACCAAACAGAAAAGCTCTAGTTTCGTAGGGAGTACTTGGGGGGATTTTTTTTTTAGCCGTGTCAGGGCATGACGCTTGTTGTGCCGGTAGATGTGCCGGCACCGAGAAGACAGTTGTATCGTGAGTAAAGAGATAAGCTGAACGGCTGCCGCATGCTGGAGTCGGGCGCTACCGGGGCCCTGCCCGCCGTACCGCTCGTTAGTGTGCTGAGGCTGCGGACCCTCTGCCAGGAAGCAGCTTTCTGGGGGGGATGCAGCATCATCGTTCCCGGGCACCCTCCCATCCCACTCCTGACTGTTGCGTGCGGGACTGGGGCCGCATCCAGGCACGGGTGATCTGCTCCAGCCCCAGCTGCGGGCTGGGACTGGCTTTGTGCTTCACCACGTTCTCGGTGGCTCATCAAGGGGCATCTGCTCAGCCATCCCTCGGGGTCTGCGCCCGCCGCCCGCCTGCCCTAATTGCTCCCCAGCGGTGCCCGCCCGGCCACATGTTGGCGGCGCAAAGCTGCCGTAATTGTGCTGGCGGGAGGGTGGGCGGCAGCGGAACCCCTGCGGCCCCCCCGGCTGGCGAGAGGAGGGGGTCGGCTGGGAGCCCTGGGGTCCTTTGCGGAGGTGGAGGGGGGGTGGTGGGGTGCACCAAAGCTCAGTTTACCCCTTGCCGGCGGTTCCTGCCAGGTGGGAGCGGGGTGACGGTGGCAAGATGCCACATCCCTGGGGGTCCCCAGTGTGGCTCTGCAGCCCCGGGGGGAACCTGCCCACCCACCCGCCGGGGTTTGGGGCAGAGCCAGCATCACTGGCACCCTCATGGTGGCGGTGAGGGCCAGCACAGCACCGGCAGAGATGGCTGAGCCCGTGGTGGCTTTGAGGTGCTGAAGCACGGCTGGGAAAGTGAGAGACGGGGTTTCGGCCCTGGGTGAGCAGGTTCCTGAGGTGTGCTGGGGTGCCCTCCGGTCCCTGGGGTACCCTGGGTCCCTGGGGAAGCAAGGCGAGCGCCGACCTTCCCCCCACCAAAAAGAGATATTTCCCCAGAAAATCCTCCTGCTTCGGACCTGATGACAGCCACAAACCGGGGCTTTGCTGAGGCAGCCCCATCCCCACAGTGTGCCCACGTCCCCGCACAGGCCAGACCCTGCTCAGCGCCAGCACCCCTGGCCGTAGCCCCCCCCCACCCAGGGGGTCTCACCCCAGTCCAACGGGCCTGGGGCCAGACTCTGACGTCCCCACAGCCAGGTCAGGCGGGACCAGCCAGGATGCCACCGGGCCAGGCGAGGCACTGACCCTGGTGAGACCCTTCTCCTTGTCCCCGGTCCCCCGGCTGCTGCTGCTCGTCTGCTTCGTTAGTGACAATTAAACCTTTAACAACCCATTAAATGCATAATCGATGCTCCCCCGGCTCCCCAGCCCGGCTAATGGGCCGAGGCCGAGGTGAAGCGGGCCCCGGCAGAGGCGTGCTCCGGCAGGGAGATAATGAAGCAACGGCCGCGGAAGTAATGGGGTTTGATCCGGGGGAAGGGACGCGCTCAATGGGGGCTGCGCTTTTCACATGACATAATTGCTGAGGCTGGCGCCAGCCCGGGGCACCCCTTGGCCTCCCAAGCGCCAACAAAAGCCGGCTGGCGCAGAGAGCGGGAGGCTCAGCACCCCCCGACCTGTTTGATCGGAGCCTAATTGGGGCGAGGGTGGTTCCCCTCCAGTCTTGCAACCGCCACCCAAAAGACAGGGCGCGGAGAGGTCCCGGGATGAGGATGCGTCTCCCTGGGTGCCTGGGGTTGGGGAATTATTTAAATGAGCTAATTTGCATGGCGTGGCACTGGTGCGCCCCAGGGCATTGTGGCGGGGGATGTTGGGGTACCCTTGCAGAAGGGGTTGGGTGCCCCTTCCCTCCCATGTGTGCCCTGGTGCCGCACTGTCCCTAGTGCAGAAACAGGCAATATTTCTGGCCCAAACAATGTCATTTAAATGCAGGAAAGCCATAGGAGCTCCGAGCCGCCTGCCCTTCCTTCTTTATTGGTGCTTTCCCCAGTTGAGACCCAGTGGAGCACGCCCCACACCATTTGCAGCCGCCGACACATGGGGCCACATTTGGGAACAATCCAAGCAAAAAGGCATTTTTTCCCCCCCTAGATCCCAATCCTATCCTGAAATTGCTCACTGCCCAGACAGGGCTGGCACAGTCCTGCACCTTGGGTTGTACTGGGAGGACTGGGAGTGCTGGGGGCACCGAGGAGTTCTCCCAGCCCCTCGTGGCAGAGCAGGAGCCCTCCTGCTCCCACCCCCTCTAATCGCCTCCTGCGGGATTTGCCCCCTAATCTGCTTATTTCTCTCTATTTCTCCTAGACCTGAACGAACCCAACCCAGCCCCGGTGTGACGCATCACACCAGCTGAGCTGTGGGGTCTGGGCACTCTGCCCCGCACCGGGCTGCCAGGGGGGTGTCCTGGCAGGTGGAGCTGGCACTGACTTGGGATATGGGACTGGCACTGCCATGCCAGGGGACATGGGGCTGGCTGTACCCTGCTTACGGGTCTGGCACTGCCCAGGGACATGGGGCTGGCAGTGTCCTGGCACGTGGCGGTGGTGCTGTCCCGGCATATGGGGCTGCACTGCCATGCCAGGGGACGTGGGGCTGGCAGTGCTATGCCAGGGGACGTGGGGCTGGCACTGCCTGTACCCGTGGTGGCAGTGCTCGGTACACAGGGCAGCACCGAGCTGCAGTCCCCTGCACTAGGGGTCCCAGCCGAGCCGCACAGTGAGCCCCACACCCCCTGGCACAGGCCAGGATGGGACTCGTGCCCTCCTGGTGCCTGCCTCCGCGCACGTCACCTCCATCCCCTCCAGCCTCTGGCCCCCCAGCAGGACAGACGTGGCCCCAGGGAACTGCAGTGACAAGGGGGGGGGGCCGCGCTGTCCCTCTACAGGGTGTGGGAGCCGGGGACCTCTGGGCTCAGGTTCTCCTCGGGGGTGTTGACCCAGGAGCTCCCCGCTGTCCCCCAGCTCCCAGGGGGAGAGGCAGAGAGGGGGCTGCCGGGTGGGGAGGAGGAGGCCGCCAGCCGCAGGTTGAGCTTGGCAATGAGCGGCTTCCCCACGCTCACCGTCTGCCTCTCCTCCACGAAGTCGTCCATGCCACGGTAGCGGTACTGCAGGCAGACGGTGAACACCAGCTCCTGCTGCGGGGGCACCAGCAGTGTGAGCACCCATCCTGGGCCACGGCCGCAGCCGTGCTGTCCTCCTGGCACCGACCGCCCACTCAGTGAGGCTCTTACCCGCAGTTTCTGCAAGCCGCAGAGCCGGCTGTAGAGGCAGCAGGAGGGACAGCCGAGGCTCCAGGTGGGTGCCAGTGGGCTGCCCACCTCCTCTGGGCTCTCCTTGTTGGTGCACTTGAGGTCCACGTCCAGCTCCTGCCGTGGACGCATCCAGCCATGGAAACCACCATGGGTGCCCCCACCCTATTCCCCAGTATCTCCCTGGCGTGGGCTTCGGCAACCCGCTCCCACCTCGGGTATGTCGGTGAGCTTGGCCTCACACTTGGCGATATCCTCAGGGGTGGCCACCACACGGGTGTAGATGATCATGATGTTGGAGAACTCGGCGGCGAAGCCCAGCTGGACAGTGACGCCACAGTCAAAGCGGAGGTGCCGGCTCTCTGGCAGGACTGGGGAGGGGACAGAGAGCGCAGGGCTGGTACCTGCAGGTGCTCGGGGTGGGAGCTGCACCCACAGGTGAGGTGACTGTTGGGGTCACCCTGGAGCGAGGATGCTGACATGACGCTCCTGCCACTGGGCTGGTGGCTCTGTGCTGGCGGTTTCTCTTCTCCAGGCTGGGAGAAACCCAGCAGGTGCTGCTCGCCACCTCTCCCTGTGACTTGGCGCTGTCCCCCCACCCCGCGCTGGATGGGGTGGCCGCCCCGCGACTCTCACCGTGAGCCTTGGCCCACTGCAGGTTCCTGGCAGAGGACTCATCCCGGCCCGGGGGGCGGATGGGGTCCGTCAAAGCTCGTCTCTCTGAGAGGTTGCTGCGGAGCTCCAGTGCCTGCCGGCCCCTTGTGATCTCCAGCGTGCCCATGTCTGCAGGGGGCAAGGGGGGGGGCATCAGCAGAGGCCACCGGGGTGTTGCTGTCTCCCGCTGCTCCCCACTCACCCTCGGCCACCTTGTCCAGCAGCACTGTGATCTTCTCATCCTCCAGTAGCCAGCGCTTGAGGAAGGTGACAAAGATGCCATTGGAGAACTCACCCTGGCTCAGCTCGTAGGCTTCGGCATCCGCGCACCTGTGGGGATGGGGCAGCGGTCAGCTCCATCATGAGCTCCATCACTCCCCCAGGAACTAGGTCCCACTGGGACAACAGCCCCGGGGAAGCCAGACCTGGGCACCCACAGCTCTACCCACTCCCACCAACCCATCAGGCCACTGTGCCGGGGAGAGGTGGGAGCCGCAGCCTGCATGCTTAAAGCATTGTCAGCCCAAATGCCTGTGCTCTGGAGGAGCCTCAGGGCTTAATCCCCCTGGGTGCTGCCTGAAGCAGAGCAGAGCTGTGGGCATCTCCTTGCCCTGTAAGGGACTGCGAGCTGCCACTCGCCCACCAGCTCCAGCATCGACCGGAGGGAGCGACACCAATACATGGTGGAGCGAAAGATGCAGGTGCAAACAGGACTGAGCCCTGGCCCCGCTCTGAGCCAGGGAGGGACACTCAGCCCTGCTGCCCATGCCGGGAGGTGGAGGAGAGGGGACCCACGTGGCGTAGCCGAAGACGATGTTGGCTGTGACCTGCAGCGCCCCAACTTGTGGGATGATGTCGTCGTTGAGGTTCCTGCGAGAGAAGCACTGCTGGGCAGGGGCAGGATGTGCCACCCTGTCAAAACCCACCCCAAGGCACCCCAGACCACAGGGGCTGCCCCATGCCCCTCTGCCCACCCATCATGACATTTGCTGGCTCAACTGGGGCAGTGATGCTTTGGGGCATCCAGACAAAGCCAACGGGTTTGGATGGGACCCTGGGGATGCCCCACCCCACACCCCTGGGAACCAGCACCCACGGGCACCCCTGTGCCGGGACCTCCCAGTGTGGCAGCTTGTCCCCAGGCTGGTGGCCAGGGCCAGGTCACCTCTTGCGGCACATGTCGAGCAGGAAGATGTTGAGGCCGGTGCGGCGCTGCTGCATGCTCTGCAGCACACGCTGCACGCATAGGCAGTGGGCTGAGGTGTAGGAGCTGGGCGCATCGATGGGCACCATGAAGCTGTTGCCAAAATTTTCATAGCCGTGCCCGGCATAGTAGAGCAAACCTGCTGGGAGGGGCAGAGGGTGGGTGACATCCCTTGACCTGCCAGTGCCCGCTTCTTGCCCAGCCACCCCCCAAGACCCCACCAGCACAAAACCAGCCGGTTCCCCCCCTGGCTGGAGCCGCCCCAGCAGGGGCTGCCGCACCGTAGACGCCCTTGTCGAGGAGGAGGAGGAACTCATTGACAGCCATCTGCATCTCCGCCTTGCGCAGGTCCAGCAGTGAGACCACCTTGAAGTCGAGCTGGCGGAGGAGGGCGCTGAGGGTGTGCACGTCCACCATGGGAGCCTTCAGCTGCTTGTGGTGCAGGTAGTGCATGTTGCCGATCAGCAGGGCCACTTTGTCGGTGGCTGCCGGGATGGGAGAAGGAGGCGCTGGGGACAGCGTGGGACGCTCCTGCTGTCCCTGCTACCTTCAGCCCACAGAGGTGACACCCAGTTGTGGCTGGTGTCACTGTCCCCGAGTACCAGGGTGCCCCATGGGGCACCCTGGCCGAGCGGAGCCTCGTGGGGTGACACTGGAGACGGTCACAACCCCACAGGGCCACCAACCCCTCCTGGGCAGGCTCTTACCATACAGCTGGCCGGGGCTGCCACGCTCCGGGGAGCCTGGAAAGAGAGAAACACCGTGCCACGGCCCCACAGTGCCTGGGGAGCGCAGTGGGTAGAGCGGCAGGGACCTGCCCGCTCTGCCCCCACCTACCTCCATCCCCCTCCTGCCAGGAGCCTCCAGAGGCGAAGAGCCGCGGGCCTGCGGCAAAGAGGGGAGTCAGGGAGCCCCATGCGCAGCAGCATCTCCCAGCACAGGCTGGAGCCCCCCAAAACCGTGGGACAGCCACAGGGGGGCTTTGGGCAGGGGGGCAGAGCAGAGCCAGAACACCCCATGTGGGGTGGGGGGGCCATGGAGGTTTGTCCAGGGCCCTCACCGATCTCCACGTCCACTTCCCGGCTCCAGATCTCGTGGAAGAGGTTGAACACACGGCAGGAGTAGCTGCCCCGCTCGGCCGTCGTCACCAGCTTCACCTGCCGGCAGGACAGAGCGGGTGGCTGGGGCGTTGTGCCGTGCTGTGCCATGCCATGCCGTGCCATGCCGTGCCGTGCCATGCCGTGCCGTACAAGGGGTCCCACCATAATACCTGGAGCTGGGGCGCCTGCGCACCCTCCACGGGGAGCCGGTTCCTGAACCACTGATACTGGGGCGGGGGGTTGCCGATGGCTGTGCACTCCAGCGCCAGTGTGTCCCCCTCAGCGAGGCAGCACGGCCGCGGCTGCCGCAGGATCTGCAGCCCTGCCATGGTCGGGCAGTAACCGCTGGCTGGGGAGGGGATGGGGTGGAAAATCTGGCACCCAGCCACAGCAGGGCTCTGCAGAGCTGCTCCTGGGCCCCAGCTCCCTCACCCGCAGGCCCTGGCACCCACGGGTGGCATGAGCCAGCAGGCACGAGGAAGACACAGGGCATTCGGCTCCTCCGTGGGCACCGTCACCCCAGCAAGCCCAGAGACCCTCACAGCTGAGCCGGGGAGCGACGTGGCAAGCGATGCCCTACGGGAGCCACCCCAATCCTGATGGCGAGTGGTGCCCCACGGGTGCCAGCCCAGGGACGCAGATCTCTGGGCCCACCTGAGCTGGGGCTGCTGCTCTTCTCCACTTGGACATGGGCCCACCTGGAGAAGGCAAAGGTGGCCCCGCAGTTCACCCGGCAGATGTACCACTCGGGCTGGCCCGGCGGGGTGGCCGTGTCAATCACCAGCTCCGGGGCCGTGGCTCCGGGCACCTACGAGACAGGAGGGGGCCAAGGAGTCGGGGGCTCCCACACACCCGTCTGGGTGCCCTCGTCATGGACAGGCCCTGGGGGCCCTGCTTGACATGGCGCAGCGGGACCTCACCTCCCGCTTCCCACAGAACCACTGGTACACGAGCCCCGGCGGGCCGGTCGCCCAGCAGGTCAGGGACACTCGTGTCCCCTTCGCCACCACCTGCGACTCCGGCTGCACCGTGATGCGGATCATGTCCTGGACTGCGGGAGAGGAGAGACGGGCCTGGGCTGGCTGAGACCCCTGTCCTGCACCATCCCAGAACATCCAGTCCCGTCCTGTCCTCTCCCATCATACTTTGTCCCACCCCCATCCACAATAGCCTGTCCTCTCCCATCCTATCCCACCCTATCCTACCCCACCCTGCCCCATCACACCCCTCTGTCCTGCCCCAACCATCTCATCCTACCTTGTCCCATTCACTGCCATCCCACCCATCCCATCCCATCTTGTCCCATCATACCCTGTCCCATCCCACCCCACCCTGTTTCATCCCATCCCTTCCTGTCCCATCACAACCTGTCTAATCCTGTCCTGTCCCATCCCATCCCATCCGGTCCCATTAGTCTGTTCCACCACACCCTGTTGCCCACCCTCCCCACCCCATCACACCACATCCCATCCTATCTCCCCCTACTGCATCCATCCCATCCTCACCAGGGCCTCGCTATCCAGAGCAAGACCACCAGCACAAAGAGCTGCCCCTCATCTCCCCGTGCTTTCCTTCTGCTGAGCCCCCGTCCCCCGGTGCCCCTCTCCAGGCCCTGTGGGACCCCACCGTCCATCCCTACCAGCACTGCTGAGGACCTGGCAGGCCTGTGTGTGCCCCATCCTCTCCAGGCAGCCCAGCAAGTACTTGAGGGTGCAGTCGCGCTCAGCCAGCAGCTGCAGGAGGCACTGTGTGGGGCTGCCGCGGGGCTCCAGCACCTTCAGCGAGCATGTCTCCAGCTCCTCCGCACTGCGAGGCCCCCACCAGCACTCAGCGCTGCAGCCCACCCCCCTCCCATGGAGGAAGGGGACCCCTGCCAGGGGACTCGGCAGTGCCCCCAGCCCAGGCTGCGGCCACGATGGGGTGGCTGGGGACCTGCGTGCCCCTCGCTCAGCCCGTGGCAGGGCTGTGCCCATGTGCATTTTGTGACCCCATCGGGGACAGACCCCTGGAGATGCCCCCCCACCCCTACCTGCACTTGAAGCGTTTCTCCACCCCGGCCACCTCGGCCAGCTTGCGCCAGCCCCGGCCAGCATTATCCAGGAGCTCACAGAGCCGGGCCACCACCTCCTCGCCCAGCGAGCTGATGGGCATGTTCCAGTCCCCCATCCTGTCCCAGCCCCGCCACCACCTGCCTGGGGACATGGAGGGGACGAGCTGTCAGTGGGTGATGGGGTGACAGGGTGCCTGTGCCCCACCGGACACCACAGGGTGCTGCTCTGGCTGGGTGCAGGGTGGCTTGGGAGGGAGAGCACCAGCATGAGCTTGCCAGCGTCAGGTCACTTCCCAGCAGGATCCCGGGAGGGTTTTAGCCTCCCCGGGGAGGTGCTTGGAACTGGCAGGACAGCGCTGCTGGATCCGGCCACCAGAAGCGAGCCACGAATGCCACAAGTTCCCCCTCTGCGCCTGGAGATCAAGAGCCGTGACAGCAGCACAGGGGAACTCGCTCACCCCCCCAGCCTCAGGCAAGGACCCGGGGCCACGTTAGTCTGGCGTCAGGACAGAGACCTTCACGGGATGGGGTCCAAGGAACTGGAAAGAGGGGATGGCCCCTGTCACCCTCCCCATCCCTTCGGGGGACACAGAGAACGGGGCCCATCATGGAGGGCTGAGTCCGGGGACCTCTCTCCTTCTGGCAGAGACCCCAGTGGGATGGCAGCAGCCCCCTCACTGACACCAGGCCTCTCGGTGGTGGCTCCGGAGCCAGCATGAGCCCTGCCGGGCCACCACAGGGAGCCCACAGAGGGGGTTAGGGGAGGGTACATGGGGGTCCTGGGACTGGAACCCACCTCAGCTGTCCTTGACCCTGGCAAAGGCTTCAGCAGCGAAGGGAGCGTGGCATGAATCACCCTGGATGGGGGCAGCACCCAGAAACGGGCTCCCTCCTCCTCCCCTCAGGTCCCTCCCCACCGACCCACCCCAGATCGGCGCTTGTCCCCAGGACCAAGCTGTCCATGGCAGCCGGGTGACACTCGCCCGAGCAGGGGGGCTCTGAGACAAAGCGCAGGGACTCGGGTCCCCCCTTTGTTCACCTGCTGCTGGATTTGGGGGGGCTGGACATGGTGCGGGGTGGCAAGGGGAGGGCAAGCTGCAGGAGGGGCATGGTGGGGACAGGGCACTCACCACTGGATATGGCCCGGCCTGAGCCCTGTCAGCTCCAAGGGTGCGCACTGAGCCCCACGCAGAGGAAACGAGGGTTCAACCTAAAATCTCCCCCAGCCCCCCCAAGCCGCAGCACGACACTTCTGCTTTCCTCCTCCGCTTCCTGTGCTGCGGCGCGCAGGCACTGCAGCTGCCAACCCAGCCACCCCACAGCCCCCCGGGGGAGCCAGGCATGGCCCCCAGCCCCTGCCACAGGGCATGGGGCAGTGGGGACACTGCTGGGCCGGGCAGTGGCTCCCCTACCTCCCTCCGGCTCCTTCCTCACTGTGGGAGGACCTCACGGGCAGGTACTTTGTCCCCATAGCCCAACTCAAGGCCAGGCAGGAGCTCCAAGGCAGCGAGTCTGGGATGGAGACAAACCAAGGTGATGGGGGCACCTCTCAGACAGGGAAGCCCAACGCATGGGCAGGACTGAGGCCCAGGGGAAGCTGCTGGGCTCTGCCAGGCTGGAGCCAGACGAGAACATGCAGGGACGGGGCAGCAAAGCCCTTGTTGCTGTGAGGAGGACCCTGCCTTCACCACACAGCCCAGCCATGCCGGGACCCTGGCGTCCCAGCAGCTGCTGGTGCCAGAGGAAGAAGCAAGAGTGCGGCGTGGTGGTGGCACTGCGAGAGGCTGCTGTGTCCCCCCTCACCTCGCCCGCTGCCCCGCAGCACCGCCAGAGCCTGGCCCCTGTCCTCCCGCCCCCCCAAGAGCACACTCTGCTCAGCCCCCAAAACCCCCCTGCAGGGGATGCAGCGACACCAGTGGAGTCATTCCCCACCCCAAACCCACTATACCTCCCCTGCAGGTGACAGAGCAGGGAGCGGGACCCATTTGGCAGTGTAGGCTCCCTCTATGAGCAAAAAATTGAGCTTCTGTTTTAGGAAATACAGCAAGAAATTGCAGCCTGTGTTGCCTCAACCCCTCACCAGCCCCAGTGTGAGGGGGGACCCACACTGAGCTTGCTGAGGGCCTGAGTTTGCCACAGCCTCCATAACAGGTATCAGCCTCACCAGCGATTTATTACTTGTTTACAGCAAGAAGAAGAGACCGAAAGCAGGAGCTGGTCCCAGCACCACCCACACTGGCACTCAGGGCAGCTCCTGCGCCTCGAGCTCTGCAGCGCCTACAGCTTCTTGCCCTTCTTCAGCCTGTTGCGGTGCCACGTGTTATACTTCCGCAGGCGCCTCCAATACTCGATCGAGTCGGGGTCCAGCTCCTCCAGCTTCTTGGGGGGCCCAAGGTGGATCTTAAAGAGCCTGGAGGCGAATGCAGGGGGTGTGAGGCTGTGGCAGGGAGGGCAAAAGGACAAGCACAGGACAGAGTGATGGAAGTGCGTGACCAGGATGTACAGATCCCTCCCCGCCACATCCACAGCGCAGCCCGCTCTCCTCCCCAGCCCTCGGACAAGGCCTCTGGGCTGCAGAGTGGCAGTTTTCCTCCTCCTGTAACAGTTCCCTGTCTCTCCTACGCTCGTCTGTGCCTCCGGGGTGACACCTCTGCAGGGACAGGCTCCCCAGGAGGGACCCCCCTCTCCACACAGCAAGGGGAGCCGGCCACCACCTACCAGTCGGGGTACTCGGAGTCAGGCTTCAGGGCCACCTCCGGGCCCTCCTTGAAGTAATTGACGCCCATGGCGTAGGTGGCGAGCATGGTGGGGTCCGTGCACACCTCTGGCCCCTTCAGCCCCTCCTTCGGCACGTTCTTGCCCTTGGACTTCATTGCTGTGGGACGAGGGCAGGGTCAAGGCAGGGGCAGGACAGGGGCTCAGGCAGAGCAGGGGCCGGGGCCTACGGCGGGCAGCGGGAACGAGGAGGGGGCGAGGAAAGGAGCTGGGGCAGGGGACGGGGGACGCAGGACAGGGG